AAATTTTTTACATTAAAATGTTTTTTCCTGAGGATTGAACCCAGAGCTTGCACAAACTCTATCTCTACAGTCTCTAGAAAAAATTATTTTTGAGACAGTGTCTTTCTTACGTGCTCAAGTCAACCTCAAAGTTGTATTCTTCCTCCCTCACCCTCCTGAATAGCTGAGTGAGGGGTACCACTTCTTATTATACTCCAAGCCTGGGTGTCTGAGGGCATCTGGGGACACTTAATGTCATAACTCTGCTCTCAGGGACATGCCTATAACTGGCCACAGTTATCTTGGAATGAGTTAATATACTCAGTCATGAATGTGCAGCGCAGCCACGGTCCTGCAGCAGGTGTTTTGTCTCACCATGCCTCAGTAAGCAGATGAGACACTGTAACTTCTATGAACTAAAGAACACTGTAATTTTTTAGTAGCCATGTTTGGTATGTAGCTATAACTGCTATTTTGCAGAAGGAATGAAGAGACACAGAGCTGGAGCTCTGGAGCTGCAGCTCCAGCTCTACTCTGATGCTGATGATTGACTCTTCATATTTTGTTCTTATTAGGGAACTAATTAACTCACCACTCATGAAGGACTATATAGACTAAGTGGACCCCTCCTGGTGCCTCTTGGGGAGGCAGGCCTCAGTTCCCACACTGAAATTACAAGGATATGCTACTGTATCCAGCTTACATACATTTAAATATTTTATTATTCAGATTTTTAAAAAGTATTTTCCAAATGATTGGTCAGTTATCCTAATATCATTTGTGAAAAAATCTAACTTGACACACATTATCTCATATTCTACCAGGGATCAAACTTGGGACCTTGCACCTGGGAAGCAGGCAGCATAACCACTGAGATAAATCCCAGGCTACATTATCTCATATTCTAAATCACTAAACTTTATACTTTTCCCTTTAACTCTTATGTTGTATAAGTTTCTTTTCCATTTCTATGTCAATGCCATACTTCTATTAGGTGTTGTAGTTCTGTATTGTGCCTTAATATGTAACAGGACAAGTCCATCCTCTTTGTTTTTCACAGTATTGCTTGAATTATACATTTATAAAGTCCTTTAATTTTACTCTGAATTATCTTAATTTGTTTAGTGTTGCCATAACAAAGAATCAGAGGCTGAATATAGTATGAAAAAAGAAGTTTGTTTAGCTTACAGTTCTGGAGGTCCAAGAGTATGGTGCTGGCATCAGCCATCTGGCGAGTGACTCATCATGGAGAATATCACGTGGTGGGAGTACAGGGGGTGAACATCACATGGCAAGAGAGCAAGCAAGAGGGCTACCAGAAAAGCTGAACTCATTTTATAACAACCAGCTCTAGCAGTAAGCAATCCAGCTCCTCAAAACCTAACCCCAAGAGACAGGTCTTTTTTTTTGGTGGAACCACTGAGCTAAATCCCTAGTCCAAGGGGTAGGTCTTAATTCCTCCCAAGGGTGGTACCCCTTATGACACAATCAGGTCCCACCATGGACTTCTCCAAGGCTTCGTATTTCTCAGCAATGGCACATTAAGGACCAAACCTCCAGCACATGAAACTTTGGGGGACAAAACATGTCCAAAACATAGCTACTATATAATTGACAGTAATCAGTGAGAGTAGAGTTTACTGATATAACTTCCAGAGGACTTTTTTTTTTTTTAATTTGTACTGGATATCAAACTTGGGACCTTGTGCTTGCGAGGCAGGTGGTGAAACCACTGAGCTAAATCACCAGTGTGACCAACTTATTTCTAAGCTCCTTCACCTCATTACAATCCATTTTGATCACCAATGCATACAGTAAATAACTTTGCTAGTACAAGCTAGAAAGAGCCAAAAGTAATATATTAAAAAAAAATGTTTCGGGGATTTAGCTCATTGGTTCTGCTGCCTGCCTTGCAAGTGCAAGGACCAGAGTTTGATCCCCAGTACCACCACCACCACCACCAAAACACCCAATGGAATTCTTGAATAACCCAAATTGTCCATGAGTGCTTTAGTAATTTCATTAATAATGACCCAATATTTATTAACATTCTACCGTATGTCTGACTCATTATTTTCCCATCTTGAGGAAAGCTAAACGACCTAGTACGTGGATCCTCGAGTTATGACCGGTCTGACCTATGAAAACTTGGGTTATGATTGGAATTTTAATTTTAACTTACAACCAAATTCTTGAGTTATGACTTGAATGCTGGCCGCTTGTGCTTCCAGATGGTCTCAGATACAGATTTAACTCTTTAGCGTTCTGGAAGGAACATTATAACATCCTTTCCTGTGTGGGGTTAATTGAGAAATCATGGGCAAATGTCTCTCTACTGAGATATGACTCCAGAGTCTCACTTTGGCTCTGTCTTCATTCCAACTAAAGCTCAAAGGTGGTCTTCAGAGCAGCTTCCCTCACATCACTATCTGATGTTAAATTCCTCCTTCACATACAGTTATCAGTACTTTATTTATGGGTTGTCAGCATCACCACTACTACCTTTGTTTATTTAATGACTGTAACTTCTAGGACTTCAGGGACTCTACTTTGTTCACTATTGTCCCAGAACCAGGAGTAGTGCCTGGCATACAGGAGTCATTCAAAAACAATTGTGATGTGTGGGATTCCATGGAAGAGATCATCAGAAGACCATTCTGAGATGGTCTACCTAAGTTACTGGTGACCTGGATGAGTATAATGGTAACAGTAAGGAAAGAAAATGAGAATAGGGGACATGTATTTTGCAGTTTAAAAAAGTAAATCTTAATGACTCGTTTTTAATGTAAGGAGTAAAGGAATGGTAGGAGAGTCCAGAATGGTTCCTGGGTTTCTGGTTTGAGTGGCTAAGTGAACATAATATCACTGACTGGAAGGGGAATGCTGAAGAGGGTGGAGCTAAGACTGAGTTCATTGTTGGTTGTGTCAACAGATCTGGGATTGTTAATACAGACATTCTAAATGAATCATGGGAGCACACTAGGTTGATTAGGAGAGAAATTTAAGAGAGAAGACAGAGGTGGAGCTCCTAAAGGAGGTTGAGGTGGAGTAACCAGAAAGATAGAAGAAACCCCAAAGTTTAGTATTAAGAAACTGAGAAAAAGCTGGGAATTTAGCTCAGTGGTTCTGCTGCATGCCTCGCAGAGGCAAGGTCCCGAGTTTGATCCCCAGAACCAGGGGGGAAAAATGCTGAGAAAATAGGCTAAAAACAGCAACTCATAATGGGGCAAAAAAAGACCAAGCATTTTAGAAATGTGGGAGTTTCTGGTGACCTCAGTGACCACTAGAAAATGAAAGGAATAGACTTAAAGATTTTAGTTGATTCAGTAGGAAATAATGTACTAGAGACAGTAGATGTAGACAGGTGTTTGAAAAGCTGTAGTGGGAGGATGTCACAGTGGCGGGAAGGGGAGGTGGGATCTATGGAAAATTTCCTAAAGGTAGGAAAATCCAAGTGTGCTAATGCTAATGAAAGGAATCTGATGAAGAATGTACTGAAAACAAAGATGCCAAGCTGAGAACGAAAACTCTGAGTGGTCAGAAGATGAGATTGGTCTAGGACAGGAGGAGGGTATCACTTTTAGATTAACAGAAGGAAAGTTGAAAAAATAGGTGCAGCAGTATATACCTTCTTATACAAAGTGTCTATTTGTACATGAAGATTCCAAAGTAGAGGTAAAGAAAGATATAAATCCTTTAGGAACCAGGCTAGGTACACGTATCATTTGGCCAGTAATCACAAGAAGCCAAATTAGAAAAAAATGTTGTGATCTTAAGTTTACCACAATTTTATTTCTCTAATACACTCAGGAGTACATTCTAAAAATATATAGGAATAGTGTTGTTCACCTTAAAGAGTTCTACACACCTTGGGGCTTTATCACTATCTTCTACTAAGTCAATTCTAGGAAATGGAAATGTGGCAATATCAGCCAATTGGTTGGATGGTATTTCTGGTATAAAACAGGACAACTGGTGGTACTTCTCTGTATAAAACATATCTAAAACTGAAGGCTCTTTGAGGGGCTAGTTAGTACCCTTCTCCCAATCCCCAAACTCAAACAAAGAAATAGATTTTACACAGCTGAAAGTGAGCGGTAGTAAAATAAACATTTTATTATATAACAGAAGTAAAGTGTTCAAAAATTTACATCAACAAAACCAAAACCCATACTGGGCACAATGAAAAAAATTTAACATTGCAACTTCCTTGCACTGTTCAGGAATCTGATTGGAAACAAATAATTAAATATGCTGCCTATACACAGTCAAACAACCAGTACTACTGTAGCAGCTGAACAAAGTGTGAGATATGGAACTTGGATTGCTGCCCTGATAACTGAAGCAGACGAAAGAAGAAAGGAGCTCACAACCAGGATGCTCAAAATCAGGCTGGAATCCATCTATGATCCAATTCCAGTCAGTCTGACAAGTCACTCTGATCCAGGACAATTATCCTGTGCAAACATGTTTTAAAGGACAAAGAAGGGAGTTTCAAGTTGATATGCACAAGTTTTAAAAATTCTTTTAATTATTATTTGCTACCTGGAGATCAAGCCCAGGCCTGCATGATGTTAGGCAAATATTACCACCTAAGCAATGACCCCAACTCAGTATGTATTCTTCTTTTGTTATTGATAGTACATGTTTGCAACATATAATGAATATATTCATCTTGCAGAGTTGGTACTTGTACACACTGTATCTTAATCCTTTTCTCCTCCCTATTCCTACTCTCTGCCCTCTCCCTGCATCTCTAGATACCCTTCCCTTCTGTTAAAGGTCTACCTCCCTTTTTCCATAGAAACCATGTGACATTTAATTTTCTGTGTCTGGTTTATTTCACTTAGAATTACAATTGCAAGGTGAGCCTGTCTTGCAAGTGCAAGGTCCTGAGTTCAATCCATTTTCTTATAAATTTGTTTCTTGCTATGGCTGATCTTTATTTGTTCATTTGCTGGTGAACATATAGGCTGTATCCAAGATTTAGCTATTATAAATTATGCTGCTGTAAACATGGGTATGCATGTACCACTATATATAATATGATATCTTTAACTTTTTGGGGAAGATACTCAGAAGGGGAATAGCTGAGCTGATTGATATTTTTAGTTCTCTGAGGAATCTCCATACCGATTTCAATACTTGTACTACCATGTACATTTTTCAAAGAGACAAACACCTTTTTTATTCAACTGAATTAAAAGGAAAGGGATTGAAATCTTTAAAATTAAGGGGAGAATATAGTATCAGTGAATCATGGAAATGCAAGATCACTGCAAAGCAATTGACAGCAGCACCTTCTGTACTCCTGTATGTGAACGGTTCTTATGCTGACTTTGATTTAATCAAATGTAATACACTCCTCTCCCCCGTACTGGGGATCGAATTGAGGACCTTGTTCTTGTGAAGCAGGTGCAGTGAGCTAAATCTCCAGCCCTTCACCTGATATTTTAATTAACTACAAAGATATAACTATAAATTGAGCAAAGTGGTCTGAAAATTTTAAAGTCTTTGTCCATTGTGTTTATTCACACTAGTTAATGTTTTAAGTGCACCTGTGTGCTCTCTAAAAAGGACACTAAATACATATATCTCTTACCTTGATGGTTCAGACCAACCCAGTCGCTTCCAAAAACAAGGTTTTAGTTCATCTTCATGATATATAAAAGGAAGAAAAAAAAGAACCATTATTTTCAAGGTAAAAGGGTGCCAGAATTCAGAATTTATATCAGTATTCTCTCTAGTTTTGTGTAGACAATTTTACCTCTATCAGTTGTTCTTTTTTTTTTTTTGAGACAGTGTTTCACCATGTATTCAGACTGGTCTCAACCTCATGGCAATCCTTCTGCCCCAGGCTCCCAGGTGCTGGGAGGTATGTGCTCAGTGTTCTATTATATAGATATAGAATCTTTCTAAGAACATAGTTAAAGGGCCAGGGATTTAGCTCAGTGGTTCTGCTGCCTGTCTTACAAGCACAAGGTCCTGAGTTTGATCCCTGGTACTAAAAAATAAAAAATAAAAAAACATAAAAAAATCATAATTAATGGCTTCCCCTCCTAACATTTTACAGCTCCCTGCCATAGGAAAGGACCCTAATGGCACTAATGCACAAATATCTTCCGAATTATCTTCTTAGTGACTTAATACTAGGCAAATACCCCCACATACTGGGCCCTATCAAGCTAATCAGGGGTTGGAGAAAAGAAAATGCACGAATGGACAATACAGAGAAAGATTCCTTAACGAAGTGACTACAGACAAAGGAACAAACAAGGAATGGCAAGTATCCAGGGATGGGCAGCAGTGGGAAGCCAAAGTCTAAAGGGCCTAAAGGGTACAAGTGGGAAGACAGTCGTTGGAACCCAGGGAAGACAGCTGGAACTGGGAAGGACAGGCCGCCACACAGAATCTGTACTTGAGGAGGGACAGCATATCTTCCACACACAAAGTACTGGAATAGCCAGGGAGGGTACATAAACCCTACCCTCTCTCTTGCCCTTTGATCTTTTGTCAGGCCTTCCCATTGGCCAACAGGCAGCCAGGGAGAGGCAGTCCACTAGGATCAGCATCCTGGGGAAAAGTTGGACAGAGAAAGATCAATGGAAAGGGACTAGGGAAAAGATAAAGGGGCAACAGATGACCTGAAAGAGTTAATATCACTAACTTCCCGAGTAGAAGAAACAAAATTTAGGAGGGCATCATTTGTAAGTGGTATATCAGAAGCCTAAAGCTCCTATAATTCTAGAATTCAGATGAGGCATGCAGCTGCCTGCTGCTGAGGCAGGTGGACTGCCATGAGGCTCAAATCAGGCTGGGTTCCATAGTGAGTTTAAGGCCAGTCTGAATTATAAAGCAAGACCCTGTCTCAAAAACAAAAACAACCCCCCCCACCAAAAGGCTAAAATTTGAAATTAAGGTTAAACTACAATTTTTACATTACTTATAGACCCCAATTTCATAATATATGATTTCTTATTAGATTCTGCAGCATCTGGATGATGTAAATTTAAAACTCGTTTGCAGATGTTAGGAAATTAGAAGCTAAGCAGCTCTCTAGGCAATGTGCAAGATGCTGATGATACTGGCCAATAGCTCGTTTTTGAAAAATAACTAAATTAAGTGAAGACTGGAAGTTAAAAGCTAGTCTAGAGTGAACTGCAGGGAAAAATTATGAACCATAGAAAGATTACATATAGCATGTCAGAAATATTTCTTAGTAACTCTGATCCCCACCATGCCCAAGGATAGCAGGCTACATTATAAACAATTCTTCACTCATACCTTCGTCACAACTCCCTAAAAAGCTCTCTGATTTCCTTATCTCTGGCTTGATGCTTTCTTTCCTTTTGGACTTCTTTTCACCAATGTCTTCTTCCTTGGTTTTTGTGTCCCTTTAATAAGAATGATTTGGAGCATTAAACCACGTCTAAGATCCAGGGTAGTTAGCATTATGGGGATGTTCTCTATGGGCCAGGAGTTGGTTTATGTACTGTAATGTATGTTAATTCAATTCTTACAACTCTACTTTCTCCATTACCTGATGAGGAAACTGAGGCACAGAGAAGTTACACATCTAGTAAGTCCTAGAGCTATACATGCAGGCTACCTAGTCAGACTCTGCTTTTGTCTACTAACCTATATAGCTAGTCACTAAGAGAAATTATTTTACTTATATACTAATGGGTATACTTTGGAAAACCACCATTTCTTTTATCATCTTATCTTTTACTTTCTGAAACTTCCTCTGGTATGAAATGTCTACATAATTTAAGTATCTCACAGCTTAGGAATACATTTGTTAAACTATCAAGCAGAATCTGTCTCCTCCTCTCAACTATATGCTCCTTGAGGCAGAGATGTTTCTTTCTCTCTGTGCATGTCCAGCCCAAGCACAGTTCCTGGCTCACTAGCAGTACTCAAGAGATACTGGCTTGAACCAAGGTAAACACTGTTTAGAGCTTCTTCTTCTGGACAGTCAAAGCAAATATGTAAAATGAAAGGCGATGGGTACGTGGTGCAGTGGCAGAGCACTTACCTAGCATGTATAAGCTCCTACATTCAATCCCCACACAGCCAAATAAGAGAAAAAAGAAGAAAGCTAGCTAGCTATGGTGAAAGGGGAATTCTCCCCTCTTAACCCACACTGACAGAAATGCAGGCTCAAGAGAGGGTTATATTCTACTTCTGTCCAAATACAAAAACCAGAGTCATCCAGCCTCTGCTGAGCAGCAGCCACCGTGCTGGAAGGGAAAAGGCAGCTGCTTCTCTGATCCCATGGCTGTAACCAGGAGAAAGTTTGTGCTCTACTGAATAAAGGTCTGTTACTCTGCAGTTTCTAGTCACCAGCTGTGTCCTTTGGGGCAGAAGAGTAAGCTGACTCTGGTCACTTCACAGTACTTCAGGCATGTGAAGGAGGCTATCAAATTCCCCCCTCCATCTGCTCTTCTCAGGCTGAGCCTCCCAGCTCCTTCAGCTGCTCTCATCGACCTGCTCTGCAGACCTCTGCCTGCTCTGTGGCTACCCTCTTCTGTTTGTTAAGACCCCTGTTTAAATGTGACACCCAAAGGGAGCTCCACATTGACCCTGAGTCCTCTGAGCAGCACATTACCTGTCTCACCCATCACCCGGATCTAGGCAGCGCATTTCTGTCTATGCAGAATTCATGCTGCGTTGACATTTTCATAACTATCAGCCTGAGGCTGATAGCTCTGCATAGAGTCATAGCTCTGCACTGTTCAAGAATTTCTGGAATTCTTACTGTGTTTCAAGATGCATGTGAAGTCCTGAGCATATAAAAATAAGACTTTCTGCTTTCAATGTTATTACTGAGGAGAGGCTTCCAATTCAAAATTTTCCATTCAGAACAGGTGTCTAGGATTTTATGATGCTGGATCCAAAACTTTTGGATTTTCCTTTTTTAGGTAGATCTCCTCCTGTTGCCCAGTCTAGCCTCAAACTCATGAACTCTAACAATCCTCTGGCCTCAGGCTCCTGAGTAGCTGGGACTACAGGTGGGCACTGTGCCTAGCTTTACTTTTATCTCTTAAAGTATCTAACATTTCTATCTGTGAGACCATTTTGGATCCTTAGTTATCATCCATCACATTAGAGTTCATTCTGAGATTTGTGTTCTCTCAAAACTTGATAAGCATCCTTTTCTCCTTTAGTTCAAATGATTGATAAAAATGTTGAAGGTGGCAGGGTAAAAAAGCAGTTATCTCGCAGACCTGACTCTGCCTGAAGTGTCATCTGTTAATCAAAATCTTGAGCACTGTGGGTGGTGGAGGAAGAGGAGCAAGCATGAGAGAGTAGAGAGATGGAGTCAAGGCTGCCCATCGACAACAGTGTAATGCCATTATCAGATACTCGCTCTCCCAGGAGAGACCTCGCTCCACTTCCTGAACAGGAATCTAAATCTCATACTCCTATACCTTAGGTATATAATGCATTCTTTCCCCTGAAAGAGAAGGAAGAGGTTGAGGAGGAAGATTAGAAAGAAGATAATCCCCTAATGGGGAACAATAACCTTTTAAAGCTTTTGCAGGGGTCCTGTAGCTCCATGTTCTTTTCTTCAGGTGGCTGTAGCCATCTTTCCAAGTCTTCATCCAGAGTAGAGTGAGCTCTGTTCAAGGACAAGTGAAGAGAATTAAGATAGTCAATATCCCTGGATCCTTGACAAGGAAGTGTAATACTTTGGAGTGGGAAAAGACCCTAAAAATCAGTGCTTTTACTATATAGCTGAGAAAACAAATGCTTGGTGATACTGTGTCTACTATTATAGCGGTTACTTAGATCTGGTTTAAATGCAGAACAAAATAGTTGTTTAACACCAAGCATGGTGGCACACACCTGTAATTACAGCATGCTGGGTGGCTGAGGCAGGAGTATCACCAGTTAGAGCTCAGATTGGGAAGTTTAGTGACTTTGTGAGACCCTATCTCAAAATAAAACAATAAAATGGTCTGGGGATGTAGCTTAGTTCAAAGGGCCCTGGTTCAAATCATAGAACTGCAACAAATAAACAAACAGTCTTTAGCTCTTTGACAAAAGTTTTGACATCTATTAGATCAGCCCATTTCCTCCCAAAGTCCAATGCTGACTTTGTTGCAATTCTAAGTCATTAAGTCCATTTTTCCCCTAGGTTAGAAATTTATGTACTTTCCCTATGCTTTAGTAAGAACTGCCTCTAAGGCTAGAGGATGAGGACATTTTTTTAAGAAGGCCTGAATAGTTCCCTCTTTGAAAAAAGAAACAAAAAAAACCTTCCTCTCTAGCTTTGTGCTAGATTGAGCATTCACTTCACTCAGAGGTCTGAGTAACTGTGGAATAATGATCTGTGGCCAACATTAGCAACTCTTTCAGAAAAGGAAGAGACAGCAATTAGAACAGCTCAATTTCAACCACATGCAGAGAACTTTGTAGCTGTATAGCCAAATGTAACTTGGTCTACTTCAGCAACACTTTCCCTTTCCCTCCCTCCCTCTATTCACTGAATAATGTCATAAACAGGACTTGGTGGTGTACATCTTGCAGTTCTAGCTACTTGAGAAGCTGATGCAGAGAAGCATGAGTTCATGGTCTGCCTGGACTACTTAGAGAGACTCTATGTCAAAAAATAAGGGCTGGGCTGGGGATTTAGTTCATCAGCACCGTGCCTGCCTCACAAGCACACGATTCTGAGTTTGATCCCTGGTACCAAAAACCCACCAAAAGCAACAACAACAACAAGGGTTAGAGGTATAGCTTAGTGTGACAAGGGCTTCACTTTAATTCGTAGTACCACAGGGAAAACTTTTTAAAAAGCATAATTTTTTTTTTTGGTACTGGGGATTGAACTCAGGTCACTTACATTTATGAGGCTGGCAGTGGAACCCCTGAGCTAAATCTCCAGCCCATGGCACAGATTTTTATCGAAGGAGGCTTAGGGAGATGGAAGGAATAGAGTTACATGACGTATCATAGATAACATGTATCTAAAAGTCTGGGAAAATATTTTCTTCCCTCATTTGCCTCTTTGATTTCTGTCTCCCCCCAAAACTCCTCTCTCTGCTTTCTTTGCATGTCCTAGGGCTCCATTCTCCTCCTCTACTTTCAGAACAGAGCTCCCGTCCAGGTCTATCTTTTTAAGCTTTTCTGAGACAGGGTTTCACTATGTAGTTGAGACTGACCTGGAGCTCACTATGTAGCCCAGGCTGGTCTCAAACTCAGAGCGATCCTCCTGCCTCAGCCTCCCGAGTGCTGGGATTACAGGCGTGTGCCACTATGCCCACCCCCCTTAACTTTTTCAGAGTATGACAGAGGACTTCGGGGAAGATGACGGAGCAGTGAACAGCAAACAGATCAACCTCTCCAAGATCTGAAATTGAGACACTGGAAAATAACAACTTGGGGAAGAAAAGAGAGGGAGGTGGATCTCCAGGACCCAGGAAGGATGTGGAAAAAAAAAAAAAAACTGGAAAATTTCAGAGGAAAGTGAAGAGACTGATCACAATGCAGAAAAAGGAGGGGACAAACTGCACTTTCTCTCCAGCTCCTGGCTTGCGGTGTGGGAGATGAAGATCAAATGTACAGATACACAGTGAGGGTGAGTGATTCCACAGACCTTCTGGGAGAAACACACCAGTGGAACAGAGAAATAAATGAGCTATAATAGCTGGTGAGTGACTCCAGCCTAAGCACCTTGGAGTGCCCCTTGGAGAGGGTGCTTGGCCAGATGCCATTTTTAGAGGGGCCAACTGAACCTAGGATTCACAGCAGCTATGGGTTGGCTTCATCTCAGGGCTGTCAGTGTTGAAATCCCACAGTGACTGGGAGAGGGATAATCACAGTCCAGGACCAGGGAGTCATATTCAGGCCAGCAAGAGACATCCAGAGTGATGCAGGCTGAACAACTCAGGCCCCAGCCCAATAGCCAAGGGTCAGGATCAGCCGCAACTTCTGTGGAGTTTAAAGTGCCAGAATTAGCACCCTGCCCTACCTCTATTGAAGGCTTGCTGGGATCATCCAGCATGGATTTGGACTCTGTCGGCTTCCTTTGTCTACCAGTAACATCAGAGCCATGTCCTGAATTGGACACTACCACAAAACTGTAGATCCCAGAACATAACCAAAGATTTGAAATCACAGAGAAATCTCTCTTTTTTTCTTGGCTTTGGTTTTTGTTCTTATTCCTTTGCTTTTTTCTTCATCATTTTTGTTTTTTCATGAGTGCAAATACTGTTTTTAATTTTTTATTGTGTTTTGTTCTTGTTTTTGTTTTTTCCTTCTCTTTTCCATCTCATTCACCAATTTCCTGGAGCTTGGATTATCTTCCTTTGTCCTTTAGCCGTGCTTCTAATCACTTTCTCTTCTTTTATATATCTATTTTTTCCTTTTATCACTTTTTTTTACATTTTATTCTGAGGGTAAATTGCTCTATTGAGTGGACATTTTCTGTATATGCAGGATACATATTCTTCTCAACAGCACAGATTTCTCCAAAATAGACCACATTCTAGCTTATAGCTTATGCTCATGCTTAAGTAAATGCAAAGGAAATGAAACTGTCCCAGACATATCAGATCATAGCTTGATGAAATTGGAAATCAATGGCAAAAGAAACCTCAAAAACTACATAAACATGTGGATATTAAATAACACCCTGATGAACAACCAATGGGTCACAGACGAAATTAAAGAAGAAAATTAGACAGTTCCTATGATTATGCCAATGCAACATACTGGAACTTATGGAATGCAATGAAAGCAGTCCTATGAGGGAAATGTGTAGTGGTGAATTCCCATATTAAACAAAACAAAACAAAAACAAAAACAAAATAGCGTGAACTCAAATAACCTAATGCTGAACCTCAAGCTTGTAGAAAACAAGAGCAAGTTAAACCCAAAGCATGTATAAGGGAGGAAATTATAACAATAAAGACAGGAATTAATGCAGCTGAGATTAAGAAAACAATACAAAGAATCAATGAATCAAAGAGTTGTTTTTTTTTTGAGTTGGTTCTTTGAAAGATTAAATAAAATCGACAAACTCTTGGGCTAGGGATTTAGCTCAGTGGTGCTGCTGTCTACCTCACAAGCGCAAGGTCCTTAGTTCAATCCCTGGTACAAAAAAAAAAAAAAAAAAAATCAGCAAACTCTTACCCTACCTTATCAGAAAAGAAGACTCAAATTCAGGAAATTAGGAATGAAAAGGGTGAAATCATAACAGATCCTGCAGAATTCTAGAAGATCATTAATACCTACTTCAAGAACCTGTACTCTAATAAGATGGAAAACTCAGAAAAAATGGACAAATTCCTAGATATATACAAATTACTAAAGCTGAATAAAAAAGATTTACAAATCATAAATAATCCAATATCAGTCAATGAAATTGAAGAAGTAATTTTAAAATTAACAACAAAGAGAAGCCCAGGTCCTGACAGATTCACTGCTGAATTCTATAAGAACTTTAGAGAAGATCTAATGGCACTACGCCTCAAACTCTTTAATGAAACTGAAAGGGAGGTACTACTCCCAAATTCATTCCTGGAAGCAAGTATTACCTTGATACCCAAACCAGAGAAGGATCCAACCAATCAAATAAAGAAATGCAGACCAATCTCTTTCATGAACATAGATGCAAAAATCCTCAATAAGATACTGGCAAACAAAATGCAGCAAATTATACACCATGACCAAGCAGGATTCATTCCAGGGATGCAGGGATGGTTCAACATACACAAATAAATAAATGTAACATACCACATTAACAGAAGCACTGAAAAAAACCACATGATCATCTCAATAGATGCAGAAAAAGCATTTGACAAAGTCCAACACCCATTCATGTTTAAAATCCTATGGATGGGCCTGGGATTTAGCTCAGTGGTGCCACTACTGGCCCAAATTCGATGTCCTGTATGGAAAACAAAAAAATAAAAAACCAAAAAAACACCCTATGGAAAATTACAAAATTTTGCCAAATGATTCTGTTTGCGAACCGAAATGTTTGCAAACAGCAGCATTCATGAGCTGAGGTATCACTGTGGTTACACACTTTTATTGCTGAATTATGCCACTGTATGGTTAGATATAACCATTTACCTGCTGAGAATTTAGGTTGTTTATAAGTTTTGGTTATTACAAATAAATCATTTATGTATATGAAAAATATCGCTAGACATGGTGGTGCATGCCTGTAATCCCAGCACTCTGGAGACTGAGGCAGGAAGATCGCCACAAGTTCAAGGCCAGCCTGGGCTATATAGTGAGTTCAAGGCCAACCTAAACTACATAGTGAGACCCTGTCTCAAAAAAAGAGAAAAAAATCCTTTCATAAGTCTAGCTTTTTCTGTTACCTTTCTGTGTCCTCTCCTAGATCTTGTGATTCTCTGATCCAAAGCAAACTGCTATCTTCTTTATTACTGCCAGTTTCTTGTTCTTCCAAATGCTTTGGATCTAAAAAGTTGAAAAAGAAAGTAACTTTGTTAGAATGAAAAAAATTATCGGGCATGGTGGTGTTTGCCTATAATCCTAGCACTTGGGAGGCTCAAACAGGAAGATCACTGCAACTTCAAGGCTAGTCTAGGCTATATAGTGAGTTCAAGGTCAGTTTGGATTACACAGTGTGACTTTGTCTCAGAAAACAAAACAAACACTGGGCATGGTGGCCCAGGCCTGTAATCCCAGCACTCGGGAGGCTGAGGAAGGAGGACTGCTGTGAGTTTGAGACCAGCCTGGGCTACATAGTGAGTTCCAGGTCAGTCTCAACTACATAGTGAAACCCTGTCTCGAAAAACCAAAACCAAACAAACAAACAACCCTCCCAAACAAACAAAAATGAAAAAAATTGAAAAAGCCTAACTTACAAAATGGAGTACAAAAAATATGGTGATCAGTGGTCCCTGAAGAATGCAATGCACCAGCTCCCTTCTTCCCATGACATCAGGGAGCCAGGAAGCAGGCCAGGTATTCACAGCAGCTGCCTCTGGGGTGTTGGGAGATCTTTGGTGCTAGCTGAAGCTGTAGGAAACTCAGCCTGAGCCAAGGTTCAGAAAAGCAGAGGAGGCAGAGGAAAGAAAGAGCACACGAAAGAGGTGGCAAAAACTCCTGAAAATAAACTGCATCCATTTACTTTGGTGGGACCATCCTGTTTCACTTCTCAAATGTTTCTAGGTTGAGGGCTGAGGATTTAGCTCGGTGGTTCTGCTGCCTGTCTCACAAGTGCAAGGACTCTAATTTGATCCCTGGTACCAAAAAAATGTTTCTAGGTTGGAGCCCCAGGAAAGGAATTTGCATAGGGAAGAAAAGTACCCTATAATATATGCCAAGCATTTCACACGTCATTTCATTTCATCCACCAGTACTATGCAGGGAAGGGGACTAATTTGCAAAGTATGTTAGCAAATTAATACTCACTTTAGCAAATTAATATATCAATTTGCTAATTATTTTACATTGTACCAGGCAATGTCCATGGAGCTATGATATACATTTTAAGATAGGACTTACCTCCATTTTGCAGATAAAAACAACTGAGACTCACAGACATTAAACATTGCCATATAAAAATAATTGGTGGGCCAAGGATTTAGCTCAGTGGCGCCACACCTGCCTTGCAAGTGCAAGGTCCTGAGTATGATCCCTGATACCACACACACAAAAAAAAAGGTAATTGGTTCAGCCTGGGCTGCATAGTGAGATCAAGACTAGATTGCAGCCAGGGATTTAGCTCAGTGATTTCATCACCTGCCTTGCAAGTGCAGGGACCCAAGTTAAATCCCTGGTACAAAAAAGAAAATAAAAAGACTAGATTGCATAGTGAGACCCTGTCTCAAAACATTTTCCTCCCCCCAAAAAAGTAACAGTGGAGTCAGAATTGAGCTGAGGCCGTACCTGACTGCAAGGCCACAATTTCCCTATGTACCACTATGCTGCCAAGGACAGCATTACACCAAGTACGCGATGAAAAGGGTCTGGGTAGTAGCTTACCATCTGCAGTGATGCTGGGAGGACGTGCTGTCCTCCATGGATGAGGCAACACCATGGATGAGGCCTGCTGCTGCTTCAGTTCCTCTGGCACAGTACAGAAGCAGAAGGCAACTTATTCCTCCTTTGCATGTTACATCATTCCTTAGGGTGGTGGTTCTCAAAGGGTGGTCCTCAGCCCAGCACCTCTGGCACAACCCAGGAACTTATTAAAAATGCAAATGCCTCATCCCAAACCTCTTGAATTTGAAAACTTGGGCAATCTGGGTTTTCAAAAAAACTTCAGGTGATTCTGATGCCATTGAGGACCACTGCTTTTGGGAATTCAAGGTTGAAAGAAACTCTTCAAGTAAGACAAAAATGAATATTGATTCATGAAAGAAAAATGATGGAGAATGATGATGAAGACAGGTAACAGAGAGCCAAAGTGGCAGACACTGTGTCTAAGCATTTATATGCATTAATTAAGGATTAATGTTCACAATCCTCACAATAGCCCTTTGAGACTGACTCCATTACTGTTACTCCTGTTTAATAAATAAGAAAATGAAGGTTAGAAACTATGCTAGAATCATAGAGAGTAAGTGGGAGATTTGAATCCAGACTAGCCCTAAACGTTATGCTTCTAACCTCCATTAAAAAATATTTTTTTGAAGGTCTTGCTGTGCAGTTCAGGCTGGCCTTGAATTTACTATGTAGCCCAGTCTGTCCTCAAACTTGTGACGATCCTCTTGCCTCAGCCTCTTGAGTGCTGTGATTACAGGCATGTGCCATCACACCTGGCATCCTAATCTCACTTTCCACTTCCTCAAAAAGTTTGTAACAACATCAGAAAAAGTCAAATGTTCTCCTATCTCTACTGGTATATATGACACATCTTTTACCTGACCAATAGCAAAATAGAAGGCAAAGAATATTCATCATTTCTAGTTCTCCCAAAAATGCTCACTAGAGCAAGACAAGTATCTGCTAAAATCAGGTGCTCAGTCTCCTCCAAGTGCTCCCAAGGGTAGAGCAGAGAGACAGGTGCGGGGAGCACAGGCAGGCCACCTGAGCTCACCAGCATGGCCCTGTTCTAGGCAGGTACAGATCTGCTCCATTCCTGGCAGCTCTTGGATGTCAAGGGACTTATAAGACCATTTAATATAATTTGAAATAGAATATCCACTTTATCCTTATTAAAATAGTCTTGGTTGCTTTTATTTATTTATTTATGGTACTGGAGATCAAACTCAGCTCCTTGCACTTGCAAGGCAGGTGGTGGAACCACTGAGCTAAATCCCAGCCCCCATTTGATTGCTTTTAAATAAATACACATACCCTAGGATTCTAAAAGATTCTAAAAGAGCATCTTCTTTAGAACCCTGTCAGGAGACTAGAGCTTCTGATGTGGGCCCTCCAAAAGAGCAGGTCATATCCCAGATGTCTCTTTAGGGGCAGCAGTAGAATGGTGACACAGAACAATCAATCAGGTTAGTAGGCCCATGGCCAGGAGAAACTATTCAAATGCCCTCTATTCTTTGCCTTTCTGGAAAATGACTGACCCCTTCAAAGTGCAGACATCACCTAGAAATATGGCTTAGATAATCTCAGTAAGTGGAGTGAGAAAATGGTTCTTCACACTGGGGTTCATCAGTGCCATAAGGCCGGAGTTCAGAAAGAAGCCTGGAGGGCTGGAATGGGCAAGGCAGGGGAGGATTCACACATGACTACGGAGACAGGTCAACAGGATCCAGAGGAAAACTGTCTGTTACTATCATACCACAAAGCTTCCAAGTATTGTGCCAAAAGCCATGGCTAAGGAAAAATGATACCAAGAATCCACCTGAGCAGGACATATGTTGGAGTGACCTCCATTCTCAACAGTTCCATTATTTAAAAGCACTTGGAGAGGAGGAATTTGCAAGGACTACCTCTAGAGGTCTAGGAGTAGAACACAGGTGGGGGTGTTGGTTCTAAGAGCCTGACCCAACAACTTGAGGCACTGGGGGTAAAAAGGGCCTATATGGCTGTGGGTGTAGGTTGGTGATAGAGGGGTTGTCAAGCAAGCACCAGGCTCTGAATTTGATCCCCAGCAAAGCAGGAAAAGGAAAGGAAGAAGAGATGGGGGAGGGGGGAGGAGTAAGAAAACAGAAAGGGACTTTACAGAAAAAGGAAGAAAATGAGCAAGGTTCTGGCAATTATGACTGGTTCTACCCAAATTCACCAGGCCAATGAAAAGAGACTGAGGGTTATGATAAGGAGCCTACAGGATACCTGTCCTTTGACCAGACCTGTAAGTCTTTATTCCTTATGAGACACAATTTAATAGACCTTGAAAACCATGTGTAAATCTCAGGACATTCTCTGTATGCCTACCAGGGAAAGGGTTAAAAATGAGAGTAGGTGAAATGCAGTTATTCACTTAAAGGACCTTGGCTGCTGCCTTTCTGCAGAGAAACTGGGCTATTTCTCCTGGGAAAGAAATGTTATGTACAGATAGCCTTGCGTGTGCTGTGAGAGTGTCCTTAGTTTTAGCCAGACCCAAGACACTGTGCTCTAAGACATGTAGGCCTGTTGGCACCAAGACATTTTTGTCAGAGCATAGTACTTAACAAATTAACAGACAGGGTACTGTGCTGGCATTTTGCCTCTTACGTGCTGAAGGCTCTGTCTCATGCAAGATCCTTCCCCAGATGATTCCCCTTCATTTTCTCGTACTGTCTCCTGCCTCATTGTGTGGTAAAGTATTATTGAACTATGCTCATATCTGCTGTAGATTTACAATAAACTTACTTTCATCTATATAAAATCATGATGCGGCTCTTTTCTGTTGGTATGGATCTGAACCTCAACTTTCTGTGGCCACATATATGAGGCTCCTTACTGTTACAATGCCCCATAGCAAGAATTGGACCACCACAGTATCAGTGAGAACCATCCTCTGAGGGTGAGGTCTGGTCTGCACCGCTGCTGTGGAAGTAGAGCGCTGGATCCCATATTTCTCTAGAACCATAAACCTTTACTTTCAGCATTGGCCTCACTGCAAATAAAACTTGAGTTTATACTGTCCGGTCTGAAAATTCTGGTCTCATTAGGTTTTGTATTACTGACCTTCCTGCTCTGAGCAAAGGATTTATCCACTTATTGAGTACCTCATACTATTGGTAAAACTTAAAGTACAAGTTCTTGGCCTGAGCTGCCAGATCTTAGGCCTACAAGGAATGGCTAGTTTAGTTAGAAAAAGAGGTGAGTTCCTCTTCTAAAACAGATTTATCATAATAAACCACCTGAATGCTATTAATTCAACTTCATTACCATGAACCCTTTAAGTAACTAAGGACAACAGACCAAGGACCAATTATGCCAGCCAGGCAGTGACTCATTTTATGGGAAAACTTCCCTAAATTTTATAAAACCAGACTTTTGTAGTGTCTTTTATACCAGTGCTCACACCTCAGACAAAGAAACTGTATGGTGAGGCTGGGGATGTAGATCAGTGGTTCAGAACTTGCCTAGCCAGAGGGAGACTCTCGGTTCAATTCCAAGCACCAAAAAATGAACAAACAACGACAACAAGACCCCACTTGCCATCTGGTGCTGAGTGACCATAATCAAGACAGACAGGAGTATATTTTGTTTTATATGGAACGTTCATTACCAATTTCTTCAAGCAGCTCCTGAGATGGTGGAGGTAGGTCCTCAATTTGATGCTGTGAGATGGCTTCCACTAATTCTTAAAGAAGATGAATGGGAAAATGACTTAATACCTTCCAGGACTTGAAATGGATTTTTCTAGCCTCCTCATGAACTTGACAGAGGATTTCTCAAGGATGCAATAAGCTAAAGGAGAAGGAAGTTTCTCACATAACAGTAATACTAGTAACCTCCTAATATTTGAATGGCCTTTGCTCCTTTCTCTCATTTCACTCACCCTACTACACTTGGTCTGTGCTCTTCCTATGGATATTTGAAGTAGGGAAGGTACAAATTGTTACTAAGAGGGTGGATCCGATTCGGATCAGGATTGTTAGAAGGATACAGAGGTTCTGGACCAGCCACAATGAACAAAAACACAAATTGGCAGGTCTTCATCTATAGATTATCTATCAGGACAGGGGACACAGGTGCAACTATACTTTGGGTCTTGCCATCAGTGTTCTATTATAATGTAACTAAAATCTTTCAGAATAACTCAAAAGCTGTGTGTGGTGGTGTACTCCTGCAATCCCAGCATTTGGGAGGCTGAGGAAGGAGGACTGCCACAAGTTTGAAGGCAGCCTGGGTACACAGTAATTTTAAGGCTAGCCTGAACCACATAGCAAGATCCTGTCTCAAAAAATACAAACAAATAAACAAATAAGCAGCTCAGGACTGATATTCAACAGGATATCGACTATGGTAAAGATTTTTATATAGTTCCAAACTGAAAAAATAAGCACCAAAATATAAATAAGGTAAAAAATGGTCAGGCTAAATGGTAATTTTTTTGAGACAGGGTCTTACTAAGTAGTTCAGGCTGACCTTGAACTCACTGTATAGTCCAAGTTGGCCTTCAACAGGTAGCAATCCTGCCTCAGCCTCCAAAGTGCTGGGATCACAGGTGTGTGCCACTATGCTCGGCTGATACTTTTCTTTTTTTCTGAAACAGGGTCTCACTATGTAGTTGAGACTGACCTGGAACTCACTATGTAGCCCAGGCTGGTCTTGAACTCACAGCAATCCTCCTGCCTCAGCCTCCTGAGTGCTTGGAATTACAAGCGTGTGCCACCATGCCTGGCTTTGATACTTTCCTTTTTAACCCTTTCTTTAGCCTCCAGATTTTCTCTGATGAATGTGGTTTACTTTTATAAGCAGGAGGGAAATAACAAATCTGTTTGAACTGAACATAGCTTCAGTGGTTACTGAGCACCAGTTTAGGCTTCCTTAAACTGGCTTATTAGTATCAAGTTCAACTTTAATATTAAATATAGGGTACCTTTAGGCATGTTCTTTCTTTGGGTGACATGGGTTGATGAATCAGATGCTAGTGTAGGACGTAAGAATTACATATGTTTAAGTGCAGGGTACTATTTAGAGTTGAGAATCTAATGTTTCTGTACTAAATTCAGTAATGCTTTGAGTACAGAGTAGACTCTGCACTTTCATGTCTCAATTCTAGTCAAAAGCTCCTAACAACTACTGCATCATCACCACCACCACCACTTCCAGTAGCCCTACATGGTCTCCTATGGGATTGTCCCCTCCAACTTTGGTCCAAAGTTGCTCTGATAGAAAACTCATCAGGTGTGATCTCTGGCCTGGCTTCTGAGAGCCAGAGCGCAGGGCTGTGAGTTCCTCTCCCAAAATGCTTCTCCTCCCCGTCCATAGTTACCTGGGCTGAGTGGAGTGCTGACACTAGTAGGTGCATGTCTTACTTGGGGTGTTTTACATGAGGCTTCCTTAAAAGAGCCATCTGGTTCATAGGAGATACTAGACAGATCTTGAATGTCTGACAATGATCTAAGGAGTGAAAATACACAGTTATTGTAGGAAGTTTAGAAAAACTGAGTAATATCTTTCTGAAAGGAGCTTTAAACTAACTTCAAAAAAATCTTTTTGGCAACAGGTCAAAATTAAGAGTACATAAAATTTTTAAAAAATTAAAAATAGAGTACATCTTCGAATACTGTGAAGAGAATACTAGAAAATATCTTAAACAGAGATACTATTGTATATATATATATCCCGGTAGCTAAAAATAAACTATTTCCATAGATAAAAAGATAGTTATGTAGAAAATGATTATCACTGTGTTTCCTTAATTATAAGAAGCTATTATTTATAAATAACATCATAAATTAATAACAGCTTTTTGGTTAAAAAAGAAACACTCCCATTAAGTCCATACATTAAAATAGGTGGGGTGTCTGGGGTTAGCTCAGTGGTACCACACCTGCCTGGCAAGTGCAAGGTCCTGAGTTCAATCCTCCGTACCAGAAAAAAAAAAAAAAAGGAAAGAATGCTAAATCTTAAAAACAAAGAAATACTATTTCCATAAAATCAAGACATTATAAAAGCACTCTTATGCTACTCTTTGTCACCCTTACATGTCTTTTTCTTTCAGTTCCTTTGGTGGCTCCTTTAATGTCTCTTCTTGTTCACATTCAGTACTGTGAGAAAGTAAGAAAAACAACTTGTCAGCACAGTGTAGTAAGCTGATACAGGGAACCAGCTCATCAGGCCAGTATGAGAAGCAATGGGAAGGACACTAAGCTCAGAAATGGAAACTGTGGGTTCTGGTTCTGGCTCTGCTGCTAGTTAGCCACTAGTTTTCTGCCATGTCTGGGCCTCAGCTCCTCTCTGCAGACTGAAGAAACACACTCTAAGGGTCAGCCCAGCCCTAAAATCTGCCAATGACTCCGACAGTGAGCAAGTTCCTAAGAGAACCAGTGGGGCACAGGAACCTCACTGGAGGTCGATGCTGAAGTGAGGTGCACAGCCTTGTGGCTTTAGCAGTCGTGAGACGGCTTCTTGGTACAGAGTCCCAGAGACGACCAAGAGACGCTTGTACCAGAAAATGACCAGAAAAGAATACTGAAGACAAAATTTGACCTATTTCTACTATCAATAATATTCAAAACTCAATTTCAATAGTCACAGATACTAAATAAGCCAGATTTCATGCTAAAAGTGTCCATATATTTTCACTTTTTGTTTTTTTTGGTATCAGGGATTGAACCCATGACCTTGTGCTTGAGAGGCAGGCATGGTGCCACTGAGCTAAATGTCCAGCCCATATTTTCTTTCTTTCTTTCTTTTTTTTTTTTTTTTTTTTTTTTACAGGTGGCAGCACCACTGAGCTAAATCCCCAGCCCCATTTTCATATTTTTAATCCCTATAACAATCCTATGAAACCAGTAATAAAGAGTGAATATAGATTTGTGGTTAACTCATGACTTTATCCTTTTCATCAAAATATTTGTTTCTCCTTAAAAGCTTATATAATAGGGCCAGGGATTTAGCTCAGTGCAGCTGCTGCCTGCCTTGCAAGTGCAAGGTCCTGAGTTCGATCCCCAGTACCAAAAAATTAAAAAAGCTTATAGAATACTTCCATTTTGTTTCTGCTATTTACATCAATTGTCACAACGCCTTTTTTTTGGGGGGGTACTGGGAATCGAACTCGGGTCCCTGCACTTGCAAAGCAGGCGGCAGAACCACTGAACTAAATCCCCAGCCCCACAAGGCCTTTTTTAATCAATGAAAGTGATGCTGCCTAGAAACTTTAAAAGCCAGTGTACAAGCCAACAGGCTGCATTTGTTTTGTACCCAGCAATCAAGGAAGCCCAAAGATGGATCCTCCCTCAACCTGTATCTGTGACAGAATATAGTACAGAACATCCATAGCCAAATCAGGCAGGGATAGTAATCAAGAAGTAAACATTTAGCCAGGTGTAGTTGAACATGCCTGCAATCCCAGGAAACTGGGTAGCTGAAGTGGGAGGATGGAAAGTTCAGTCTCAGTCTGGACAATTCAGTGATTTAGCAAGACTGTCTAAAAATAAAAATAGTGGGCCAGGGATTTAGTTCAGTGGTTCTGGTGCCTGCTTTGCAATCGCAGGGACCCAAGTTCGATTCCCAGTGCCAAAAAAAAAAATTAATTAATTAAAAATAAAAATAGGAAGAAGGACTAGGAATGTGGGGTCAATTCCTAGTGCTTAGAAAAAGAGAAAGAAAGAAGGAGAGGGAGAAAGGCAAAATTTTATTGTTTTAAACCATTAAAATGTGAGGTTTTAGGGCCAAGGATTTACCTCAGTGATACTGTGCCTGTCTGGCAAATACAAGGTCATGGATTCAATCCCTGGTACAAAAAAAAAACAAAACAAAAAAAAGGTAATAATAAAAATAAATAAATAAAATTGAGGTTTTTGACCCAGGTATGGTAGTGCATGCCTGTAATCCCAGCACTTGAAAAGCTCAGGCAGGAGAATCATCTCAAGTTTTAGGCCTGCCTGGGGTACATAGTTCAGGGCCAGCCTGAACTACAAAGGGAGATCTGCCTCAAAAAAATTTACACTCTCTGAATTTTACTGTTTTAACTGGCAAAATGGTGATAACTGTACATATCTCAGAGAGTTGTTACATGGAGTAAAGAATATATAAAGTGCCTGACATGGTAGATACTGAAGAGTACCAGCTATAATTATTACACTTAAGGAAACTAAGGCCCAGAAAGGAAAAAGCAATTGAATGTTACTGTACAAGATATTTTACATCAATTATTTTTAATTAAAAAATTTTGGGGGGTACTGGGGATTGAACTCGGGCCCTTGTGTTTGCAAGGCAGGCAGTGGAACCACTGAGCTAAATCCCCCATCCTAAACTTCTGAGATAACTGTGGATTCCAATGTAGTTGAAAAAAAATACAACTTGCCCAGTTTCTCCCCATAGTAACATCTTCCAAACCTAAATATCACCACGAGGATATTGACAATGATAAGAGACAAGATTCAGAACATTTCCTTTAGCTTAAAATTCCCTATATTGATTATTTACACCTAGCCACAGTTATCTGTTCTTTATTTCTATAATTTTATCATTTTCAAGAATGTTATATAAGTGGAATCATACAGTAAATACATTCTGGGGATTGCCTTCTCCACTAAACATAATTCTCTGGAGATTTATCCAGATTGCTGTAAGTATCAATAGTTCTTTCCTTTTTGTTCATGAGTGGTGTTCTGTGATACAGATGTACCCCATTCTATTTAATCATTAACATGGTGAAGGCACTTTTTAGTTTGGGGCTATTACAAATCAATTTGTGATAAATATTCAGGTATGTGGTTTTGTTTGAATTTAAGTCTTTCGTTCTCTGAAATAATGCCCAGAAATTACATTATTACTTTTAATTCCTTTGTAAAATTTATCAGTGAGGGTTCTATTCTTATTTTACAGAGGAGGAAATAGAATAGAGAGACAAAGACCTGTGACCAAGATCACATGGATAGAATGTCACAGTGAGTTTCTCAATATAGACTCCTTTTCATTTTCCTTCAAATTCTGCCAAACAAGTCATAACAGAGATTTCCTGGGCCAGCGATTTAGCTCAGTGATGCAGTACCTGCCTTGCAAGTGCAAGGTCCTGAGTTTGATCCCTGGTACCGAAGAAGTTAGGCTTCCCAAAGTTAACTTTTTAAAAGACAGTGGCTCCCACTTAATATTATTTATTTATTTATTTATTTATTTGGTTTTTTGAGACAGGGTGTAATTATGTAGTTGAGACTGAACTAGAACTCACTATGTAGCCCAGGCTGGTCTCAAACTCACAACCACCCTCCTGCCTCATCCTCCCGAGTGCTGAGATTGCAGGTGTGCACCACCACGCCCGGCTAACATTGCTTTTGAGTATAAAACTACGAATAAGATTATAAAGGCCCATACCTTTGCATAGATTGGAATCTGGTGAAAATCTCAGTGTTCTTTTCAAGAATTTTTTTCATTTGGAACTTTTCCTCCCCTGAAATAAAGGTGTTTTACTAAATTTTTCCTTACACAGATTATATTTCCATCCCCTAGAAGAGCAGTGGCAAGTCTATGGCATGTGTATAGCAGTGGGCTGCTTTTATCATTGAAAGTTCTAAAAAGGGTCCAGGGATTTGGCTTAGTGGTTCTGCTGCATGCCTCATAAGTGCAAGATCCAAAGTTCGATCCCTGGTACCACACACTCACACACACACAAAAGAAAAGAAAAGAAAAAAAAAAGCTCTAAAAGATTCTCGATCACTGCCCTAGAATTTCCCTTGGACTATTCTAGAATGAGAAATAATCTGGATTAAAAAGTGCTTCTTTAATTGGATTTGGACTGAATGCTCTGGAGGAGGTTTTTGCCCAGAAAGTTTATTTGCCTTGGTCAGAGAACAGAACTATATTCTGACTCTCAGACACAATAAAGTCATTCACTAGCCTTTCAGCTATAATCACACAGTTAATCCTGGAAACAAATGTTGCTTTGTCTTTTCAAGAAGGCAAACTGACCCAATTTCTGCCAACAGACACCAGAGGGCGTTAAAATCAAGTGCATTCATTCACTAAAGATTCCAAACAGGAAAGACCGTTAGATGTGAATTCCCAAAGCGCTAACTGTGCTCTTGGCCATCAAACATCACCTAAAGAGAGGAGGTAGGGAGCAGGGTCTTGAGCACCGAGAAGATGATCAGCTGTCCTCAGTTCTCCTTGGCATCAAGCATCTCAGGTTATCGCTCCCTGATTGTCGCTAAGAGGATCTTCAGATAGCTAGCCAGTAACCATTTGCTCTCCCATCATCGGTGAGTTCACAGACATGGGGACAGCTGGAGCACTCTACCCCGATTCCTAAGATCACGACTCCCCCACTCCTCCCCACCTCCTGAGGTGGTCACAGAATCACCTTAGTGATTCCAACAAACGCAGAAACCCCACCAGTAGTGAGACACTGAGGCTTCTCTTACTGTGATGGTCTCTTAAGATGACAAACACCTAGAAAGCATAAACTAATTCCTAATGAGCACACTCTAGAGCCAGAGGGTACTTAAGAGAGTGTGGACTCAGACCCTCCAGTGCTTCACATGAGGGAGAGTGGGCCCTGGGATGAAGTGACTGCAATCGCCCAACTGTGCAGAAAGAGTTAGTGGAACAACAGGGCTGGGAACCCAGCATGCATCGTACTGTTTCTGTTACAGCTCTGGGCGTGGAAGAGAATATAGACCAGAGCCCGGGAGAGGGGGTCACAAAGTAGAAATGCAAGGCTTCCGCCTACTTCACGTTTGTGTGGGACTGGCCCTGGGTGTCTGACCTATCTACATTACCACTCCTCCATCCCAGTCAACCTCCTCCACACCCAAGTAAAGCGGCCATGTTCACCCAAGCCCACAGAGAGTGACCGTGAGTAGAGCCTCTGCCAGAAAGGGTGGGTGCTCCAAGACCCTGGTGACTTTTAGTACATAGCCTGAGAGTGTAACTGCTCATCTCAAAGCCTGAAGATTCTTAAAACGGTCCTAACTCCGGCAGGGGACTGAATCATGTTAGAGTTGGAAGCTGGGGTGTGCACTGGAAGCAAAGGAGTAAGTTAAGAAACCCATGCATCTGAGTTCAGAGGGTTGAGATATGACCAAGAACATCTACATAGCCTCGTAGGTAAATAACTATGATTTAATAAAAGCATGGTTCTATACATGAAAAGAACAAAAGCAAACAATCATTAATGTCTGTAAAACCAACACTTTACTTGTATACTGTCTTGTGCCACACCCCCAATCTAGGGTTAACTTGTCACATATGGAAAGCTCCTGCTAAAGTTACATGGCACCGAAGGCCTCCAAAGGGCGGTAGCAGGGGGGAAGGGTGACAGTGCTAAGCCAAATCTGCACGATTGCCTGTTAACTCTATGATGAAAAAGACGCTAAGCAAGGAAAAGAAAATGACAATGAAACTCTGGCTTCCGAGAGGAGAAAGACATAGAAACCAAGTTCTGGGTTTTGTTGTTTATCTTTTTTTTTTTTGTACCAGGGATAGAACTTAGGTCCTTGTGCTTGCAACACAGGAGGCAGAACCACTGAGCTAAATCCCCGGCCCCTTCGGTTTTGCTGTTTAATAACTAGCTCTGTGGCTTTAGCAAATTCCTTAGGTAAATTGCTCAGTAAAGACAACTGTCCATTGCGGTGTGTCACTAAGGAGGCTAAAATCTAGTGAGACTAGATAAAATATGTGGGAGTAGACATAACAGAACGTGTCAATATTGTGAAGCTGGTGAGAAGCCAGGGCTTCATTCTAATGAGGGGAGATCAGCTTTCTCACCAGTAATGGAAAGGCTGAGAAGGTGATATCCAAGGACCCTTCCAGCCCCAAATTTATCTGTGATCCAACAGAAAGTGAAGCCAAGAGATTCTCAAAGGAATCTTCCCTAGAGCTTACCATAGCCTTGAGGTTGGGCAAATGTACCTTGTATTCCTTCAAAGTTCTCTTCTATGGGACTTGAGGTCTGTAAAAGAATGAAAAGATGGGGGCAGAGAAAGGACGTTCAAGGATAGAAGACATAAAAAATTTGAGGGAAATTTTTTTTTTTTTTTGTACCAGGGATTGAACTCAGTTCCCTGCACTTGCAAGGCAGGCCACCGAACCACTGAGCTAAATCCCTGGCCCTTAAACTTTTCTTTCTTATGTTGGGGATAAAACCAGGGCCTTGCACATGCTAGGGAAGGGCTTTACCACTGACTTACTCCCCCCGCCCTCCTTATGTTCCTAAACTTTGGAAAATCTTCATGAGGCCTCTTTATCTCCCATAGTTACAGAGGAAACTTGTTTCACAGCCATTAAATATTGACTTATGCTGTCAGTTCCCCTCAACAAACAATCCCTCACTCTGTGAAGAGGAATTTTAAAAAAAATTTTCTCTTTATATCACCATTCCCCTTGTCTGAATTTTCCAACACTGTTTTGGTTCTTGGGAACTTGATAAGAGCCAAAGAAGGATGAAAAATGGCCTGTGAGAAACTACTCTATGAAGTGAGGGATCAGAACAATAGTTCTTTTTGTGGAAAGGCAATGGTTTTTTTCCTCTTAATTTTTTATTAGTGTATTTTTCTGATACATAATAAATACATTCATCATGGAGGAATTCATTAATTATAGGGGAACTAGTACATATACATATTGATCTTAACCCTTTTTACTAACCTATTCCCCCACTCTCTCTCTCCTGTCTTGCCGGTCTTCAGATTCCCTTCCCATCCTTTTGATGAAAAAACTCTTGAATTCAGTGATCCTTTGTACTGGTTTTCAGTCTCAATTTCATTAATTTCTGCTCTAATCTTAGTAATATCTCTCGTTCTATTAGTTTCAAACTTGCTCTTGTCTTTGTAGGATCTTGAGATGCATCATTAGGTTATTTCAGATCACTCTAATTCTCTTTATAACTCTCCCTCTTAGAGCTGCTTTGTGTCCCATAGAACTGCTTTAGTATGCTGTGCTTCCATTATTTGACTCTTCCGATTTCTTCTGTGATCCTCTGATTATTTAATAATGTACTATTTATTCTCTTTGTGTTTCTATATTTTCTGTGGCTTCTTTTGCTGTTACTTTCTAGCTTCATTCCACTGTGATCTGATTATTTCAAGTTTCTTTTGCTGTTAACGTCCAGTTTCCTTCTGCTACAGTCTGATAGTATGTAGGGTATTGTTTCAATACTATTGTATTTATTTATGCATACTTTATGCCTAAGATAGTCTCTTTTGTAAAGAGTTCTGTGGGCTGTTGAGAAATGTGCGTTTTGTTGTTGGATGAAATATTCTGTACATATTTGTTAAGTCCATTTGTTCAATAGTATGGTTTAATGCTGATGATCTTTGCTGATTGTTTGCCTGACTGACCCAATTGTTAGAGTAGATAACTAAGTGCCCCATTATAACTGTATTGGAGTCTATATGTCCCTTTAAGTCTAATGGTTTTTATTTTATGAAATTGGGTGTATTAAATTAAATGCATAGATATTTACAATAGTAATTTTTTTCTGTTGAATTGCTTCTTTCATCTGAATGTAGTGGCCATCTTTTGCCTCTTCTGATTAGTTTTGGCCTGAAGTCTGCTGTGTCTGAAAATAAGATAGCTACTTCTGCTTATTTTGGAGTTCCTGTTGAATGCAGTATCATTTATTTTCATGCTTTCAGTTTTAGTCTGTGTCTTTCCTTTTGGATGAAGTGTGTCTCCTGTAGGCAGTATATGATTGTGTTGTTTTTTGATCCATCTGCCAGTCTGTCTTTGGTTAGGGATCTGAGACCATTGACATTAACAGTTTATACTATAAGGTGTTTATTTACTTCTGTCATTGAGTTATTTTTCCAGCGCTGATTCCTTTATAAATATTTGTTTAATGACCTGTTGAACAACTCTTCTGACATATGACCTACTGCTCAGACATATGACCCATCTTTTTTGTGCAATTCAATACATCTTGTTTTTATAGACTCAATCTCTTTTTTTTGTATAGTACGTCTTATTTACAGAGTACTATAGTTTTATGTTATATATTACTGCATGTGAGAGCTTTGCAAATAAAAGCAAAGTCATCAAGTTGGAGTTTTCTTTGACCATTTGAGTATTGCAATGTACATACTATATATAATTCCTCATTTAACAACCAATTCAATTAGCAACCTAATCACAGGCAGGACCATAACTTGGTCCTTAACTCCTGCAGTTAGATGTATACTTTCTTTTGGGCTCTTTGGTGCTGGAGGCCTCCCAGTCTCTGTCTAGAATTTCCTTAAGTATTTTTTGCAATGTTTATTTAGTTAGTGGTCATGTAGTTCTTCAGGATTTCTTTGTCACAGAAACCTTTTTCTTTTCTATCAATTTTGAAGGCTAATTTACCAGGATATAAAAGTCTGGGTCTACAACTGTTTTCTTTCAGGGGTTAAAAATCTTTGTTGCTGGGCATGGTGGTGCACACTTGTAACCCCAGCACTCAAGAGGCTGAGGCAAGAGGATTGCTGAGGCAGGACTGCTGCAAGTTCGAGGCCAACCTGGGTTACACAGTGAGTTCAAGGCCAGCCTCAACTATATAGTGAGACATGTCTCAAGAAACCAAAACAATCCTTTACTCCAGGCTCTCCTAGCCTTTCAAGGTTTGTGCTGAAAAATCTGCAGGTATTATAATGGGTTTGCTTTTGATATTGGTATTCTTTCTTTGTGTTGAAGTTCTGGAATTTTAATATCATGTGTCATGGGGAGGTTCTTTTCTGGTCATGGCTATTTGGTGTTTTATAAGCCTCTTGTACTTCTATACTGAATCCTTTCTTAGGTTTGGAAAATGTTCTATGATTTAATTGAATCAAATTTTAAAATTTTTTCAGTTACTTTGTGATTTTTCCTTTATTTCTCTAATTCTGAGGTTGATTTGAGTCATCTAGTGGTTACTGGATCCAACTTTATGGTGTTTTGGTCATTTGTAAGGTGTCACTGAGTTTATGATCTACAACATCAACCTTGTCTTCTATTTCTGACATTGTCATTAAGTCTTCTAGCTATGCTTTTCATTAAAATTTTCATATCATCTATCTCAGCTTACTTTTCATACTTCTGAAATCTCCTCTAAAGGTGAGTCAGAGGGCGGGAGGGGAAGGGGATCTAAAAACATTTAAGATAGATCATGTATATGTACCAATTACCTACAATAATGTAATCTTTGTCACAAACATGAACTAAAAAATTAATAATAATGATAATGAAAATGGAGAATGGAGATCTCAGACACAGAGAGAGGTGGGTGGGGAAGAGAAAGTGAATAAAAAGAATAAAAATGTTAAGTACCTACTACCTAAGATGAATGTGAACATCATGTACTCCAGATGAGCTGATGAAAAAAGAAACTGATTAGAAAGTAAGTAGAATGGTGATTACTAGAGACTGGGGAGTGTGTGTAAGGAAAGGGAAGAGGGGCAAAAAGAGAGAAGCTAGCTTTGATCAGTGAATGCTATATAAGCGTATGGAAATATCACACTGAACTCCATTACAGAAATAAGTACAATTAGTATGCATTAATAATAAAAGAATGTATATACAGAGTATCTAGAAAAAGAAAAAAGAAAAAAAAAGGTTAAAAAGATAGGAGAAAAAAGAAACAGAAACAAAAACAAAACAAAAAAGAAAGAAAAACAGAAACAAGACCAAACATTGTCCTCTGCCTGTGGCACTGGAATCCACCAGATATAGGTAGAAACACTGAGTCACAGTAGGAAACTGTTTTGTTTCCATATCCACTTTTGGCTGTGAGAACACTAAGTCTGGCTCTGCCCTTCCTGCTGGGTGTGGTCATTTGATGGGGGTGGTGTCTGCTTCAGGGTTGTGTTCACTTTAGCAGCTCTTAAATGCTAGTAGGTACCCTTCTTGCTCCAGAAGTGATTATATCCATACATCCCAGGACATGGCAACACTTATCCTGCTCATTCTGACAGATGGGAAAAACAAACAGACCCCTAAGCTCCGTGTTGGAAGGAGGCAGTAAGGAGAACCAAGTAGTCCACTAGACTGAATGTCAGCATTTTCATGTCCAACCAACAATGTTTTTTGGGAGATGAGTGATGCTGGGTTTCTTGACCTGGGTACTGGTCATATAAGTGGTTCAGTTTGTCAAACTTCATGAGCTATATATTTAAGATTTATGTAATTTTCTCCATGTCACAGATTATAAATGTACACATATATAAATGTACAAATATATAATCTTTTTATGAAAGATTTCTTAATGTCCCAGTCTGTCCACAGCAGAACACTATTAAAACTCAGGATTATTAATAGTGGCAACTGCTAGTTGGGTGGAACATATTGTAATTCCAGCCCTTGGGAAACTGAGGCAGGAGGACTGCCATGAGTTTGAGGCCAGCCTGGGCTACAGAGTGAGTTTAAGGCCAGTCTAAACTACATAGTAAGAACTTGCTTGCAAAGACAAGTAGAAATTATATTTTTGATACATCTGGGATTCTTGTTAAATGGCATGATTGGAATGTACTTTTCTGCCTTTCCCCTCAGTCCACTTTTCTTATTGATAAAGGATTCCAAAAATGTGGCACTGAGGGGAGAGGTGGAGGTGAAATTATATAAGTTAAGATAATCCAATGAATTTCATTTTACAAATGAAAGTACTCTAACGCATGTCCTTGCACAGCTGGCATGCTCAGAGGAAAACTTTATGTACTGCACAGTGCCATCTTATTCCTGAATCCTTGCCTCTAATCCTGGCTCTCCCGTCACTAAAGCTTGGACAATGAGGCTTAATTCCCTATACCTGGAGGTCACCAGTTCTTCTTTAGAGAGATGATAACCTTTTCTTCTCCACAGAAAGGATACATAAATCAGGTACTATGAATAAAACTGTTTCGGAAAAAAGTACAAAGTACTATACAAGTGCAAAAATCATGACTTTGGAAGAAATTACATGACTTCCCACTCTCAAAAACCTTATTTTTAAAAAACAGTTTGAAAAAAATATGCATGAAAGCATTATGAAAATATTAGGTATTTTCACATGTGTCTTAAGTCATATTTTTTTTTTTGTTGCTGAGACAAAATACTTGACACTCAAAAGAGGACAGGTTTATTGTAGTTCACAGTCTGTAGGGTTTCACTCCATAGGGAGCTGGTTCCAAGGCACGGTGGCATGGCAGAGGGGCATCACAGCGGAGGAAGAGTTCTTGACAAAAGGCAGCAGGTAGCAGTTAGCAAGCAACAATCAACAAGTGACCTTTCTGTCCCTTATATTCCATCCAGGCTAACTTCCCCTAGGGTGGGTAGCACTCAAACCCAGGGTGGGGCATCCTTAACTCAGAACTATGCCAAGCCAATCAATGGACTAATTTAGTAACCACCCATCCTTGATTCCAGCATCACACACTCTAGATCCAGCCACCTCTGAAAAGCCCCACCTATGACCACATGAGACTTGGGGGGATCTAAATATAAGCCATAACAATGTTTAAGCTATTTTCTCAAGAAAAGTGATTTAAATAAGGCAATGGAGAAATCTGAAAATGTATTTTACACTGAATGTGATTTTTACCTCTAGAGGTAAGTTTTCTTGAGCAGCCGAGGAATAAAAATATTCATAGTCTGGAGTTAAAAATTCATCTGTTCTGTCCTCAGAAGATTCTGGCGAACATGATGATGGTGTAGCATGATCCTATTAATAATGCAGGAAATCACATTTAAATTGCTGTTCACTGTAAACCAATCCTTACAGCTGGATGCAGGGTTAATCACAAGGTCACAGAAGACCACCCAGCAGTCAGTGGAACACTGAGTTGGCTTTCCCAGTCTGTGTGTGTGCCTCTGCTCACCTTCATGGTGAAGAGGCTGTCGTGAAATTGCTTGGCATAAGTGTGGAGGAATGAGCGTCCTGAGTCTCAGCCTCTCATTCACAGAACAGGTGGAGCTGAGACAACTTCTCTGTCTAAAATTCTCAGGAGAGGCCCCAGACACCTCAAGCTGAGGACCCAATTTGCAATCCCCGATCCAAGGGCACAGACATGGTCCACAGTCCACACTTTGGCATCGGCCTACACGTGAGGAGGTATTACAGTTTAAAGGAAAGTAAAGGAGCAATTGTGTGTGTGTGTGTGTGTGTGTGTGTGTGTGTGTGTGTGAGAGAGAGAGAGAGAAAGAGACAGACACAGACAGAGAGACAGAGAGAGAGAGAGAGAGAGACAGACAGGGTCTCGCTTTGTAATGCAGGCTGGCCTTGAACTCACTATGCAGCCCAGGCTGGCAGTCATTTTGCCTTCATATCTCCAAGGAGCAGGATTTTTAAAACAACAATGCAACCTCAAGAATGAAAAGCTGCTGGGCATGGTGGCACACAGGAGGCTGAGGCAGGAGGATCGCTGTGAGTTTGAGACCAGCCTGGGCTACACAGTGAGTTCCAAGTCAGTCTCAACTACATAGTGAGACCCTGTCTCAAAAAACCAAAGGAAAAAAAAAAAAAAACAGAAAAAACAAACAAACAAAAAAGAAAGCCAGGCTAGTGTGGCTTTCTTCCAGATTGCCTGACTGCTTTTTCTGGGTGTTCTTTTATCTTGCTTTTCCACCTTCTACTTGGACCAAGCTTGCTCTGCAGAGCCAGTTTCTCCCTCATGCTTTACTTTTTCAAATCAACTTTGACACTGCTTAAAAAAAAAAAAAAAAAGAATGAAAAGCTAGGTGTAGTGATGCACACCTGTAATCCCAGCACTTAGGAGGCTGAGGCGGGAGGATTCCTGCTAGTTCAAGGCCAGCCTGGGCTACATAGTGAGTTCAAGCCCAGCCTGAACTACATAGCAAGACCCTGTCTCAAAAACAAAACAAAACAAAAATAAATAAAATAAAAATATAAAAAAGTAACAGAGCTTTTCCACTATACCCCTTCTTTTTTGCTTATTTTCTTACATTGAGATACTGCTTGTGACATGGTTAGACAAGTGATTCTTTCCTCCCATCTTCAGGTAACCTGATAGCACATCCAAATTTAGCAGATGAGCCTGGCTGCCCTCACACCTTCTCCACTTCCCTGACTAGACCTACCTCTCCAGCCCAGTTAGTGTGATCAATGTAGCATGTCCTTCTTGCTCTTATATGACAGAAGGGATACAACGTCCTTATGAATAGTTTGTAAGATTACAACACTGTGCTATGTTCAAGACTTTATCACTATTGTGCCTTTATAGTGTATCATTCAAATTGCTGTCTCTATCCTATAGATGACATGACCCCATATAGTTAGTACATTACAATACTATAGATACTACATTGCTATTATAATATATTATAACTTGGTTCTAGTTTATTAGAAATCTGGGCTCAACTTGGCTCTCCAAGCCATATTACTTACATTGTAAGATTTCTCAGTGGTCTCAGACATGTCAGAACTTGCTTGAAAGGCTTCACTAGGCTCTGGCTGCTCATTTTTCCTAGGCGAAAGATGCCTGATACCTAGTGATTATAATACAATCAGGGTCACAGTCATTCAGTAATAGTGGGACAGCATGAAAAGGACAAAAGGCACTGTGAAAAGAGAGATGCATATGCCTTCTGCCAAGAGCGGCCATATCTTTTATATCAGGTTTAGTTCAGAGAGTACAGATTGTTAGTTTAGCCTGGACCAAAAACGCAGCCCTTGATCATCCACCCTGTTGTCCACCCACTCGAGTGATGCTTTAAAAAAAGAAAAGAGTGATGCTTGATGAGGAACAAATTTTTTTTTTTGATTTTTTGAGGCAGGGTCTCACTACGTAGTTGAGACTGACCTGGAACACACTATGTAGCCCAGGCTGGTCTCAAACTCACAGCGATCCTCCTGCCTCAGCCTCCTGAGTGCTGGAATTACAGGCATGTGCCACCATGCCCAGCAACGAGGAACAAATTCTAAATACAAAAAAAAAAAACCCAAAAAAAAACAAAAACCCGAAAAACCCATGCCAACAGATTTCTGCTTAAAATGAATGATAACTGTAGATGTCCTTCTTATTGACTTAGTAATACCCCATTATCCTGATCATGAGCAAATTATTGGGTAGATAGTCTTCAATTGTAAATGTCATCTATCTCTGGGTTCCTCTGGCATAGACCCAGCAGATTTATTTCTAGCCTAGAATATAATGCAAAAAACAAGCAGGAGGGACTGGTGGCTCACCTCCACCCTTAGGTAAGGAAGGTTTGATTTCTTGCCAGGTTAGACCCAGAACCATGGTCAAGGCATGAACTTTATCTTATTTTGGATGAAAGGATCTTGTTTCAGTTATAGAAAAACTCATGAATCTCTGAATTCTATACATGAAGGAAGCGCAGTAGAGTGAAAGAGATATGCTACTTTCCTTTGGCATTCAAGTTCCCAGAAATGTAGGAAAGGAGAGAGGATCAAGCAAAGGAAATATGCCAGAGGTGAACAGTTTTGAGAGCTGACAATTTGTTATAGCTCCAACCCAATTTCCCCAACTGAACTTACTGGTGAAGTTCTGCGGCCCAGGCTGTCTGCCACATTTCTCACTGTCATGGTCACAGTTGTCCACTTTCCTCAATTTGACATCATTTCCTCCTGGCTCTTCCTTCTCCCTGCGAAACTGCACTCCTCGCTGCCAGTCCATGTTTTCAGGGCCCCTAGTAGGGGGCTGCAATAAGGGACTGGACCCATGTGCAACCTCACTCTTCAAAATCGAACTGCTCTGAGGATGCCAAGGAAGGACTGGGAGCTCCCCACTAGCTGCCTTCTCAGCCGTTTCTTTCACCTCCGCTGCACACGAGAGGAAACAGCCATGGGGTCAGGGATTTAGCTCAGTGGTGCTTTGCCTGCCTTATAAGCACAAGGTCCTGAGTTCAATCCCCGGTACCAAAAAAAGAGGAAACAGCTCTGAAAGGGTCATTGTGAGACTGGAAACAAAAGCTTCCATCCTAGAGATTGTGATCCTACTCTAGCCTACGTTGCAATAGTTGCCTTTGCACAATTGCATCTTCCTTAGCGTGCTATGCTTAGCTTGATGTGGCGGGGAGGGGAAAGCCGATGACAGGACAGGAAAGGCATTTCAGTTAGTTACCCGCAAATAGCCCTTGCTGCTGCATTCCACTTGAAGATAGCAGAAAGCTTGCAGATGGATGTTCTTGATGATTTAACAACTAAAAAAAGGACATCTGAAATTCCCACAAATAGTAATTAATGCAATGGGTTTGATTTGAGTTTGCCTAGTCTTTCTAGACCCCTGAGCTCATATTCTGGTGGTATGTATATATATGCCTGACTTCATTTCGAATGTTCCACTCTTCTGCTAAGGTCACTAGTACTAAAAAACAGACATTGCAGCTGGGCCTGGTGGTGCATGCCTGTAATCCTAGCACTCAGGAGGCAGAGGCAGGAGGATCACCACAAATTCAAGACCAGACTGGGCTACAGACTGGGGTACAGAATGAGTTTAAGGTCAGTTTAAACTATGTAGTGTGATGCTTTCCAAAGACAAAACAATCTGGGTGTGGTGATGCATGCCTGTGATCCCAGCACTTGGGAGGCTGAGGCAGAAGGATTGCCATGAGTTCAAGGTCAACCTGAACCATATAGTGAGACCCTATCTCAAAAAGCAAAGCAAAACAAAACAACCAGGCATTGTATCCTTTTAAGCTTAAAGATATAATACAAAATAACGTTCACAGTCAATATGATAGTGACACTACATGCTCTCCACTTTAATATAGTAGATACATTTAATGCCTACATTTTATATTTTAAAAACTTTCTCTTTTTTAAGACAGGGTCTCCCTGTGTTACTCAGACTGGTTTCAAACTCCTCAGCTCAAGTGCTCTTCCAATAGCTAAGACACCAGAATATACTACCACTGTGCCAGACTGTGTATTTTTAAAAATTATATTTATCATATGAAATACACATATCTAATAGAAATATTTCCTGAAATAAGAATATTTTCTGAAAATGAGAAAAGCATTTCCCTTTCACATGTCAGAAGGGTCTTATTTTTCAAATGAAATTATCTTAACTGAGCGTGGTAGTACATATTTGTAATCTCAGCACTCTGGAGATTGAGGCAGGAGGATCACTGAAAGTTGGAAGCCTGCCTAGATGACTTAGTGAGTTTGAGGCCAACCTAAACTTCACAATGAGACCCTGTCTAAACATACAAACAAAGAAACAAACAGATTTATTTTAAACATGGAATGATCTCTTAGAAGAAAACTGTGAGAAGACATTGTTATTGTTTTCAAAGTGAAATCTAGGCTGTGTACCTAGAGGTGTTAATCAGAGACTGGAGATATAGCTCAGTGGAGGAGCCTACATTGCATGAGGCCCTGGGTTTGAGCCCCAGCAAAGGAGGGGGAACGGAGAGGGAGACAGACAGATATGGGGGAGGGAGGAAGAGGAAAGAGGAGGGGACAGTTTAAATTACACTTTATCTAACAAAACCCATGACATCATACTCACTTTTCCATTTTAAGCGTATCTTTCCGTCATCTTTGCTTTCTGACTTCACATTAGAGATTACAGAAGACATAGATTCCACATTGATCCTAAATTTCATGAGGTTTTTTGGGTGGGGATGATGGGAGTGGGTGGACACAAATACATGTTTGTTCAAGTTCCTAATAAAACTCAAAGCCCTTAGCTCACCCAGAACCATCCCAGATTCCCTGAGCCATTACCACAGCTGCACTGACTCCTGTCTGCCAGAAGAGAGCGCCAGACTGCAAGGCTCCTTACCTGGTGGAGCCCTGGTAAGGGCAAGATGACCCAGAAGGTCCCTGTGCATGGCTTGACCTAGGGAAGAGGTCACTCCTTAGCTCCATGACTTTGTCTTGGGTACTGGACTCCCTAGACCTTCCCTGCCTGAGAAATGAAAAGGCTGGGCTAGACGTTCTCTTTAGAATTTTTTCAGTTTCTAAATTCAATTTTATGATTCTAAACATTTTCTTGAGAAATTTTTGGAAGTAGAAGAAACCCTCAATTTAAATGCAGTTTCACCAAACAGAATTCTGGTTCCTTGGGCTGCTATAGTGCCCACCTCTCCCACAAGTCCTCAAGGTAATGGTTTAGGAGAAAGTTCTGTTCCTTCCCTTTCATCAGACTTCACTGGTAACAGGCCCACCTGAGTATCAGTGATAGCACAGTAACTAACATTTATAAAAGTGGTCATAAGGCACCAGGAGTGTGAAGAACATTCTGAGACCTTAGTTTACTCTTACTGAGTTCTGGACCCTTACTTTCTGGGCTAGCTGTCTGACTTTGGCAAATGTCAAGCTCTCTTCACTGAGTTTCTTTAACTGCAAAATAAGGGTATTTTTTTTCCTTCTAAATACCCCATGACTTATATATACTTATATAACAATTAATCTTAGAACTGGATGCTCCATGGAACGGATATGACTTCCCCGTTGTCTCAAATGTATCACTGCCCCATAGCTAGGACAGACAGTAGAGAGGTCAGTTTGATCAAGATCTTTAAAGAACTCTTCAGAAACTTTTCTTTCTTTCTTTCTTTCTCTCTCTCTTTCTCTCTCTCTCTCTCTCTCTCTCTCTTTCTTTTTTTGTTTTTTGGACTTTTTGAGACAGGGTCTCACTATGTAGTTGAGACTGACCTGAAACTCACTATGTAGCCCAGGCTGGTCTCGAATTCACAGCGATCCTCCTGCCTCAGCTTCCTGAGTACTGGGATTACAAGCATGTGCCACCACACCCGGCTCATTTAGGAAAACTTTCTTTACAAGTCACTGAATAAAGAATGAAATGGGGGCCAGAGATTTGGCTGAGTGGTTCTGACGCCTGCCTTGCAAGCCCAAGGGCCTGAGTTCAATCCCGCATACCAAAAAAATAAATAAAAAGAATAAAACAAACTAAAATTCAACAATGGGGGAAATCCAACAACTTCAAAATAATAATAATGTGTGTGTGTGTGTGTGTGTGTATATATATATAAGGCCCATCAAAATAAATTTATAGGGTTTTAAAAACTAATATGGGCTAATGCTTATATCCTAATGTAAAATGGAAAACCATGAGGTAAAACTGCCCATACGTATAGTAATTGTAATGGGGGTAACCAGGAATCAAACTCAGTACCTTGTGCTTGCCAGGCTGGCACTGCACCGCTGAGCTACATTCCCAGACTTGTAATTTAATTTTTAAAAAGCATATAAAAGTATACATAAATAGCAAAACATTAAACTTTTTTTAAACATTAAACTTTTATTTGGCCTGTTTTTATTCTTTTAAGGGAAGAAGGAGAAGCTGAGCATGCGTGGCCACAAGCACATTTGTTTCTTTGTCACCTAACAGCACTAATGTCAATGCATCTGCTTCTGTCAATGGAATGAGTTGCCAAACCTTCTGATGCCACACAGGTGTTTCTTCATAAATCCCTCTGTCAGGGTAGAATACACTGGACTGAAATGGCCAAGCATTTTCCTTAATACTCCCTTATGTACATATTTACCAACATAAAAGAACATTAAACTCTTATCATTAGTCTCCAACACCAATGGGGTGTGGGCGAGTTTTTTTTCCCTCCCAGAACTGACTTCAAAGCTAAGGATTTGTGTTGTTATTTGTGCACCGAAAAATAAAAAGGTGATATAGTAGTCTAGTTTGAAATGTATTTTTAATATACCAAATGTCTGAAAGGATGTGAAAAAAGGAGAATCATTATATTTGGTGGGAATATAAGAGAATAACTGGGGAAAGGGTACAGAAATTAAAAATAAGCTGGGCATAGCGGTGAACACCTACAGTCTCAGTTACTAAGAAGGCTGAGGCAGGGGGATCACTTGAGGCAAGAAGATCAAGACTAGCCTGTTCAACATAACAAAGCCCTCTAAAATAAGAACACTAAAAATACAACTACCCTTATGATCCAACAGTCTTACTAATCTAATGGGTATATATCCAAAGGAACTGATATTAGTATCTTCAAGAGATATCCACAATCTCATGTTTATTGCAGCACTTTTCATAGGAGTCAAGACAATGAATCAACTTAGGTGTTCACCAAGAGATGAATAAAAAAATGTGATATATGTCCATGTATACACATATATGTACTCCCCACACAATATAAAACAGTATTCAGTTACAGAAAGAATGAAATCCTGCTATTTGTGACAATATGGGAGTCTGGGGGACATATCAACATAAGCCAGACACACAAAGACAAATATGCATGATCTCACTCATATGTGAAATCAAAGGATGTTAATCTCATAGAATCAGTGGAATGGTGATTGCCTGTATCGTACACCACAGTGGCTACTGCAGATGACAATACATCACAGTTTTGAAAGTGGAGAATGGGTGTGTGTGTTCTCGCATAACATGCTAACTGTGTAAGCAACAAGCAATTACATAGATCTAACCACTCCACAATGCATATGTACTTCAAAACATCACCTCATGGACGATTAAAAACATAGTTATGTCAACTTTTAAAAATTAAAAATTAGCCGGGAATGTAGCTCAGTGGTACTGCACCTGTTTGGCAAGCATGAGGCCCTGAGTTTGATTTCAAGTACCAAAATAAAAGAAAAAATGTTAAACACACTTATTGTTTCTTTAATAATTGCCCATACATAAAATAAATTTTACATAAATAATTCAAAGCCCAACACACATAAATGCTCTCTTCCCAGAGAATTTCTGCTAAGTCAATTTATTTCATTCAACAGGCTGGAAATCACACACTCCAGGAGAACAGTATCATTCCACTTCTCTGGAGCCAGTGATACTTAAACATACTCACAACAGGGCTGAATATGCATGACTGTCCCTGCCACCCAAATGGGACAGTCATGCATGTACCACTGGAGGTTCAAGCTGGCAGGAACACATTAAACCCATGTTTTTCAGTAAGTTTGGCTTGTAGAGTACCTGACATTTCTTTTTTGTTTTGTTTTGTTTTGTTTTTTTGAAACAGGGTCTCACTATGGTGTAGTTGAGACTGACCTGGAACTCACTATGTAGCCCAGGCTGGTCTCGAACTCACAGCAATCCTCCTGCCTCAGCCTCCCGAGTGCTGGGATTACAGGTGTGCGCCACCACACCTGGCCTCCTGACATTTCTTTTTATGGAAGTTTTGGAAAGGCAAGATATTTTTCTTTGGACAAAGAATAATTTCTGTTTGGTTAAGCTGCCAGCCACATTGCCTGTGATCTCTCCTACAGGTTTCCATTACACCGCTCTTTCCATTCACTTGGCAGACAACCTGACAAGATCTGCTTCTGTGTTGCTCCTTTTCACTGCTCCCAGTCCCTTTGTCACTAGACAAGATGTTCCTTTAGTAGCTGCAGGGCCACAGGAGAGTCTAAAGACATAGTAGTACAAGTAACAATAGAATGTTGACTCACCTACTATCTTGGTTCTTCCTTTCCAAACTGTCCTTGGCTCCTTGAGTGGCCTGAAATGGTTCACCTGTGTCCTGTTTTCCAGGATCATAAAAAGTCAACAGCTTGAAAAACAACTACGTTTCAGTGCTTTGATGAATTCTCTTTACTCTCTCTATTTTCAAAGCCACCCTGGTTAAATGTCTAGAAATAACCAGATCTATCCTTTGTATATTTCTTATTCTAGTAATTTATCTCTTAATTTGAGGTCTCTACCCAGAAATGTTGGCCCCCAAGAACCAATGTGGAAAATGACCATGTGGAAAATGACAAAATAGAAATAAAAAAAATCAAACATTCTCCTAAGCATTTTCCTCCCACACTAATATGAGGGTAGGATATATCTGTTACAGAAGCCCTGGGCCTTGGGTTCTGTTTACTTGGGTTCTGCCTTAGACTAACTTATGAGAGTTATATACTGCAGTTTCATCATCTGTAAAGCAGGGACCATAATACCACCAGAGAAGATACTATGAAAATAAAATACAATAAAATAAAGTCCTTATAATACTTTGGAAATAGCAGAAGTAAAATAAATAACACTCAATGTCTTTTCCTCAAAAGAGACTTTCAGATCTCCTTATTTCAATTATAGCCTAATTTAGGGCTGGGGATTTAGCTCAGTGGTTCGGTGGCCTGCCTCGCAAGCACAAGGACCTGAGTTCGATCCCCGGTACCACACACACAAAAAAAAACAATCAATTATAGCCTAATTTTAATGAAATCAATTAATTATATCCCCTTGCTTACACCAAATTAAAGCTATAATTATGGAGTTTGGAAATAGCGGCAAGATGCATAAAGTGAGAGGAAGATTCCCTAAGGTATGACTTCAAGAGGTCTTAAGGGCAAATACTCTTCCACAAGGGCTGAAGATGCCACTATGTGAGGGAGCATGATAAGAACAAATGTTCAAAAAATCTATCACCAAGGAAATTCTAGAATGAATTTAGAATTATAATTACAATATGTATTTAGTATAATAGAAAGTCTGTAATGTTTTCATTCTTAAAATTTTAAGAATTAAGAAATTAATCAATTTAAACCTCTGAACAATTCACTTGGTAGAAATGCCTTATTTTCTGATGATAAAAATTAAAATTGTGAGCCAGGGATTTAGCTCAGTGGTGCCAATGCCTGCCTCACAAGCACAAAGTCCTGTTTTATCCATGTTCATATGTACAGTAGATAGTTTCCAGTGATGAATGCCATCAATTTCTTCCCTTCCTGTCTACCCTACCAGGAGCTGGGGCCTATTTCTATCATCCGGAACTAGGCTGCCTTTACAACTTTCCCTGATGAGCACAAAGCAGTGGAAGTGACAATGTCTTACTGCTGGGACCAGCTTTTAATAGGCAAGGTGGTTTCAACTTTTACTTAGAAAGTCAGCTGCTCCAGTGCTTGGGAGGCTCAGGAGGACAGCCTCAAGTTCAAGGCCAGCCAGGGACACTTAGGAAGAACCTATCTCAAAAAGCCAAAGAAAGAAAGCAAGCCAGCCAGCCAGCTGCCATAGCATAGAGAAGCTTGGGTGAGATGATTTATTAAATGATAAAAAGCCAAGTGCAACTAAATCCCTGGCAACCTATATTCATCTGTTCTTTATTTCTATAACTTTATCATTTTCAAGAATGTTAACAGGGGCCAGGCATGGTGGCTCATGCCTGTAATCCCAGCACTTAGGAGGCTGAGGCAGGAGGACTGTTGTGAGTTCGAGACCAACCTGGGCTACATAGTGAGTTCTAGGTCAGTCTTAACTACATAGTGAGACCCTGTCTCAAAAAACAACAACAACAAAACAAACAAAAGAATGTTAATAGGGCCTTAACTCAATGGTTCTGCCACTTGCCACGCAAGTGCAAGGTCCAGAAATTGGTTCTCTAGTATTAAAAAAAAAAAAAAAAAAAAAAAAAAAAAGCAACGTGCAGAGAAGAAAACCATATAGAGGAGATCAAGGAATCAGCCATGTAAATGCAGGCATCTTGCTCCTTGTCCTGCTCAACCTCCAGCAGAATGCAATCAAGTGACTCAGCTAATAACACCACATAGAACCAGGCCAATTCTCAAATCCCTGATCCAGAGAACTGTGAGAAATAAGAAGCCATGGCTATTTTAAGCTACTAATTTTTGAGGGTTTGTTGTTATTAGATAGCAATAGATAACCAAAACATAATAAGAGCAGTTATTTCTAATAGTTTTCTATCGAAGCCTAATATTCAATTAAAGCAAATATTAGAAACTAAGTAAATAATTTGTGCTTTGCATAAAAAATGCCTGGGCTGGAGGTATAACTCTATAGTAGAGATCATGCCTAGCATGGCTGAGGCCCTAAGTTAGATCCCCAGCACCAAAAATAAAAAAAAAAGACAAAAAGTCAACATGTTTCCAATGTTCTAAGTAAAAGTTGAAGCCTCACTGAAATTTAGAATGGCACAGTGAGAGAAAACCAGACTGGAGTTAGGAGGACCCCAACTAGACTGGAGTTAGGAGGACTGCAACCAGCTTGGACTTTGCCAAAGGTATAGCAAACTAGGGGGTATGGTCCATCTGCCGTAGGCAAAAACAACAGGGTGCACTGTAAGTGGAGACTGCCCTTCATTGTTATGAGCTAGTCATTTTAAATAATTTCTGCAGTAAAGTCCTCTGGGACAGAACTCTCCTGCCCCATCCCCATCTTGATGACACCACTGGACCTCAGGAAATTTATTGAAGTTGAGCATAACACTGTATAAAATGACAAAGTTGGCCCAGGTCTAAAGGATCTATTAGCTCTAAAAGTCAGTAACTCAACAAGCGTCCTGCTCTGTGTATGAACCTGTTCAAATTTACCTATGCGTTCATCCCCTCAATGATCATTTGTTCTTCTAGTGTCAGGCCCAAGCCATTTGCCGAATCACAGGAATAAGACTTTAGCTTTGCCCTTAAAGGCCTCACAGAGAAGTTAATATGGAACCTCATAACTGCCAGTACACTTCCAGGCCAGCTCCCTGGGTGTCCACTCTGAAGTGTCTTCTGTGACTAGCAGGTCTCTCAGACTCCCACTGGGGAGTCTGCTTATGGGCATAGCTTGTGGCTTATTCCTTATCACATCCAGGGTCTAATACAGTCTCTGGCTCAAAAAAAAAGTTATTTGGATGTGTGAGTGAGTGAATGAATGAATAAGCAATTTACAATGGGGATGAATAGATGTACAGAATACCTTATATATGTTAGACTATGTGAAATTGCTAAAACTTGATTGTTTTGACCTATACTATAAATATTCCATATGACTATCTAAAATGTATGAATTTACAGAGAAAGATATTGCCTATGTGCTGGGTTTAGAAATTGGAGGTAACGTATCTACTTTGAATCTTTTCTAAAGCCAAGAGGAACCTGCTATGAGCTAGTGCCATTTATATGCCAGCTCCTACACACAGGTCAGGAGCAGTGTTGATCCTGGCTCTGAAGTCTTGCTTAGGTTGTCCCTCCCTCCCATTTTGATTTACCTGATGTCTCTCTGACTGGTCCTCAGTGCTGTCTTCAGAGACTTGGGTGAAAGGTTTCCAGCCATAGCTACTTCTCTTGGCATTTTTTCCAAAATGACCCCCTTGCAATTCTTTCATTGTTCTTGGGGACCTTGACAGTGTTGGACAATGGCCATTGGTGTCTGGCTGGGGGACACCTGACACCTGCATGACAGGATGAACGTAATTTAAAGTTGGAGGGCCCACTGCTCTAGGTAAGTCACAGACATCTGGAAATAATCTTGAAGCAGTCCACAAAGATATGTGCTCCTTCTGTATCAACTCAACCTCATCTAACTTCTGCTCAATAGTCCCCACCAAATCTGTAATCTCATGAGCCATTGTCTGTGAAATTTTTAGATTCAGCACACATTTACTGATGTACTCCTCAGTCTTTGTCCAGCTGCTCACCGTGCCCTTGGCTTCTCTGGTTGGCTCAGGTAAACTAAGTAAACTAAGAGAACTATTCTGCCAGTCCCAGTCACCAAAGAGCTCTGTGTCAGCTTCTGAAGAGCTCTCGTCCTCATCACAAAGGTGTGCCTCTTCCTCCATCTTATCCAACTCTTCTTCCAGGGATGGCAGTTCATCTGCCTGGTTTGGTTTATCACCCTCAAGAGCTAAAGTACCAACTGGGTATTCTTCTTCTGTGTTATCTCCTACATTCAAGCAGCCTGAGTAGATTTCATTGATTTCGAAGCTGTGGAGGCTGTCCTGACTTGCACTGGAGCTCTTGGTTTCTGCCACAAGTGGAGCAGGAGGAGGAGGAACATCTGGATTCTGAGGCGCCTGGGCCATCATACTTGGATTTAGGGGCTGAGGACCTAATGCTGCTTTTGCAGTGGGACAAGAGTGACCCCTTGGTGAATGGGGCTGACTGCCTGTTGAAAAGAGTAGCAACACAACTGATTAAAGGGATTACTATATTCAGTAGCTAAGCAGCCTTGGCCATTGCCCAAGAGGCACAAGGATGCAAACTCCCTCAGAGTTACGGAAGACCACTGCACACAGTCAACACAGAGTCAAAGGGTGTGTTTTTATTTTTTATTTTTTGTACTGGGGATCAAACTTGGGCCCTTGTGCTTGCGAGGCAGGCGACGGAACCGCTGAGCTAAATCCCTAGGCCACATAAAGAGTATTTTTAACCTAAGTGAAATTTCTCATTTTCACGTGGAATGAAGAGAAATTTTGGGGGTGGAAGAGGTCAGGTCCTAAGGAAAACATTGTCAGCTTCATTTATACTGCATTCAAAACATGTTTAACTGTTGAGACATGAAAAATACAGACCCTTGTATCTCAAGGACTATGCTCATAGCTTTCTTTACACACAAATGCAAGTGTTGATTTATGTCAGTTATGCTCTTAGGGAGCATCTGGTAAAAATAGCAGAGAAAGACCCAAGAAACTATCGCATCATGGAGGAATAAATAACAAAGCATAATGCCAGGCTGATCACACACTTTTCCTGATTTCTGTCCAGTTAGCAGCAAATGACATAAAAGAGACAAAAAAATAAGAGATTGGGGAGCCTCTAGCCCTAACAAGAGGAAAGTCTGAGTGAATGGTCACCTGGCTGGAATTAGAAGGCCTAGATTCCAGTTCTGTAACAAGTTCTGCAACCCTGAGCAGGCTGTAACCCTCACCTTAGTATTCTCAACTGTAATAGCAGGGTTTATGTCTAATGATTGTAAGGCCCTTTTCTGTTTCTAATTCTAAGGTTTCTAAATGTACTGGAAAGCAGTAAAGTATGGAAAATATTTTAAGGAAAAGCAAAACGTTAGTAAATTACTTCTAAATGGCAGAATTAAAATGGTAAATTGCACTGTTTAAATTTCCAAAATGAGGAGAGAGAGTAGTAGGTCTTTTTTTTTTTTTTAGATCAGATTTCACTAAGTTGCCCACACTGGCCTGGAACTCTTAGGGTCAAGTGATATTCTTTGTCTCTGCCACCTGATTAGCTGAGTTTGCAAGCATTTATGGTTATATGTGGCCACTGCATGGCCAGTTAGCAGATAGTAGTTTAAATACAAAAATTTAAAAAATTATTTTTCTTTTGAAGCAACTACATAAGATCCTTTTTTCTTTCTTTTTTTGGTATCAGGATCTTGCACCTGCAAGGCAGGTGCAGTGCCACTGAGATAAATCCTGGCCCAATAAAATCTTAAGAATAATCACAGCCAGGCATAGTCATGCAAATCTGAAATCCTAACACATTAAGCGGCTGAGGCAGGAATATCTTGAGTTTCAAACCAGCCTGGACTACACAAAGAGTTCAAGGCCAGCCAAAGTACACAGTGGGATGTTTAAAAAAAAAAAGTCAGGCATGGTGGCAACATCTATAATCTCAGCACTTCAGAGGCTGAGGCATAAAAATTACGTAGTGAGTTTAAGGGCTGAGGATTTAGCTCAGTGGTTCTACCGCATGTCTCGTAAGCACAAGGTTCCGAGTTCAATCCCCAGTACCAACCCTCTCCCCAAAGCATAGTGAGTTCAAGGTCAGCCTGAACTACACAGTGAGATCTTATCTCAATAAAAATAAAACTAAAAAAGAAAAAGGAAGGAAGGAAGAAAAGAGTAATGCTAGAAATAAACTCATTGCTACCACTTATTTCTGCATCCAAGCCAGGTATTTATAGTACCCAAAAAGTTTAATAATTTTAAGGATCTTGATTTTTCCCCCCTAAAGTATACCTATCTTCTCAGCATAAATTACATGTATAGCCTTTAAGGCGGTGATTAATTTAGCTCACGTTGACTCTCAAAATACACTGGTGTCAAAGTGATGTTTAGCCTGTGAGTTAAGGGCATACCCGATTCCTTTAGCTCTTTGATTTCCAAGTCTGCACCGGCCTTTGGATGTTCTGAAGTCAGTCCTAGATAAACACTGACATCAGGATAGGGTTCACATCTCTGCACCCTGGGGCTCTCCGTTGGCTGTGTTCTCTGTGCTCCAATGTTCTCCTGTGACACAGGAAGTACTGTCAAAGGCATATTTGCAATCATCTGAACATCACTGGTAGAAACCCATCTACCTATCAGATAAGCTCCCTCTTTCTCTTGTTGGATATACTGTGGTCCTTATCAGCTACTTTACTGTTATCCCAATACCTTGAAATAACAGTAGTACCTTGAAATAGCAGAAATAGCTGCCACTCACTGCATCCTCACTATGTGCCTACAGTGCACCCTATCTTCTTATTCCTCAGTTCCACCCCTTGATTCCTATTGCCTACACTATGTTAAGCAGTTAGGCTTTCTCAGAAACACACAAGTATAATAAAACGAGGGTTTCTAATGCTTTCTATGGCTTGGTCTCCAGCTTTTCTTTGGTCTCTTACTGCCTACCCAAGACAGCTAAGTAGAATCAAACTCCCAAGAACTTCAAGGCTTGCCTTTAGGTCATTCTTCAGAACATACTGGATATCTTGAAGATTCATAGTTCGGTCTTTCTGCTTGACTTGGACGCCTGACCTAACAACATCATAGTAAGGTTTTGGAAGCCTGACATCAGCATCTAAATAATTCCCCAAGAGGATGGCTTCTTTAATAGCTGAGCCGTCTAAATCATTCCAGGGTACACTGTCTGTAAGGAAAAAGTACAGGAAGGAGTAACTGTAAGAAATCAGATGCACTTGTGTAGCCACAGTCAAGGCACTCAACCCCTTTACACGTTAGGCCAATCACAAATGAGAAGTCACTTTGCCCATTTAGCAGGGAAAACCCTGCCAGAGGGACAGGAAGTAGTACTGGCAGCATCACATGAACACAGGCTCTCCTCCTGGCAGCCTTGGGGTCATAGGAATACTTCATGGCATTCAGCGGGGTAGACCAAAGCATTCATTTCATGGCAGGTACAGTGTGGTCTCTAGGACTGCAAACACTACAAAAGGGAGGTGACTCTTTACTTATTCCCTCAGGGAATGTGGTTTTATTCACCGTGTGTGTGTGTGTGTGTGTGTGAGAGAGAGAGAGAGAGAGAGAGAGAGAGAGAGAGAGAGAGAGGGAGGGAGTGTGTGTGTGAGATGTGTTCCTCTTTTTTTACTCATCTTTTTTCTCATGGTGCTGAGGTAGAATCTAGGGCTATGTACATACTAGGAAAGTACTCTACCACTGCGCAAGCCCTTGTGTTTGCTTCCTGAAAAAGGCCTCCTACCTTCACATACATGACTACTTCACATTTAAGTCCTAAAGTTTGAAAGGGCTTCTAGCTCTTTCAAGTGACACAAGTGACACTCTGCACATTTATGGGACCCTAGAAGTGTTTAATCTTATGTTTACTTCTCAGAAAACAATATTTTCCTCATTTAGAAGTCCTTAGGATCCTTAAATACTGACACCAATATTCAATTTAAAAATTCTGCATGAGAGGAAGGGGTGTAGCTCAGGACTATAGCACTTGCCTACTATTGGAAAAATACTGAGTTTGATCCTGGGCACTGCAAAAGAGAAAGAAGAAAGAAAAAAAGGAAGGAAGATAGGAAGGAAGGAAGATAAATAGCTATATAAGGACCAGGGATATAGGTGAGTGGCACAGAGCCTGCCTGGCAAGTGCAAGGTACTGAGTTCCATCCCCAGTACTGAAACAAAAATAAAAGAAAGAAAGATGAAATAAGAGGAAAGAGAGGAAGGGAGGAGGAGGAAGAGAAAGAGGAGAAAAAGGAAAAGAAGAGAGGGAAAGGAACAGGAGGAGTCAGAGGGAGGAAAGTGAGGAGGAACAGGAAGAAGAGGGGAAGAGGAGGAGAAGAAAGAAGAGAAGGCAGGAAGAAAAGGAAGAGAAGGAAAAGAAGGAAGAAGAGGAGGAAGAGGCTGGTAAGGCAGAAGAAATAACCTTTGCTTCGTTTAACTATGTTATCATTAACACATTAACAAAGGGGGACCGGGGATGTAGCTCAGTGGTTCCGCTGCTTGCCTTACAAGCACAAGGTCCCAAGTTTGATCCCCGGTACCCAAAAAAACTACAACAACACATTCACAAAGGGGCCATAGTTACATGTATGGCTGTCCCATCAGGTAGCTTTTTATTAATTTTATTAGTAAAAAGACCAATAAATGCAATTAGATTCGTTTGTACCACCAGTGATACAAGCCACCCAATGCAACAGTCATACATGTACCACCAGTGGTTCAAGCTGGCAGAAACGTGGTACTAAGCAAACAGATGAGCTATGCTGAGTCTTGAAGAAAAGACACAATAAAGATTTCTACAAGATCATCTTCTATCTTCCAGAAATACAAAGAAGTGTTTTGGAAGACATGTTCCTCTAAGCCAGGCATGGTGATATGATACACAGCACTAATCCTTGCTCTTAGAAGGCTGAGACAGGAGGATTGAAAGGTCAAAGTGACCCTGGGAAACTTAGGGAGACCCTGTCTCAAAACTAAAGAAAACAACAAAACAAAAACAAAAACAAAATTAAAAAATGAAAATCTTTTAAAGTTTGCACTTTCATAAAACTAACACTTGAGGGAAAAATAACCACCTAATAATGAGTCTGGTTAATTATCAATGTGCTCCTTGGTCAGTGCTCCTTGATCACCTGTTAAAATCTCTTGTATGATCATGGAAAAGCTGTAGATGTCCGACTTCACTGTAGCTGCCTTCTGAAAGATCACTTCTGGTGCAGCCCAGTTGTACAGCTCCGTGGGGAGGGGAACTTGATGCAGGTCCTTTTGTTCACCACTGTCCTGGCTATGGAAGGAAGCACACAGGCAGGGATCGTGTCTTAAAGGGACACACAGTACATTGGTGAAATGTTTGCCGTGAAGTCTGGCGAGCTCCTAGAGCTTCCGGAAACAGTGAGACACCGAGGTAACCCACACTGCCTCAGTTCTGTTCCAGTGCCTGCAGTTCCTTACCATTCCTGCCCACCCAGGCCCTGCCCGCCCCTGATCATCCGCCACTCTCTCCCGGTCACTGGCTCCAGTCAAGTCACAGAAGCCATCTCGGTCACTCCTGCATGTCAAGCCCATTACCACCTCAAATCCCTGCACCTTCTGCCAGCATTTGCTGCCCATGGAGCCTAGCACAACTGGCTGCCTCTTGTGACTGAGGTATTCGTTTGAAAGTCACTTCTTCAGGGAGGCCTTACCTGACCACCTATCCTAAAGTAGTCCTACATTAGGGGTTTCAAAACCCTTATTACAATGTAAATTTCTTCTGTTCATTTATTTAGTGTATTATCTATCTCCCATTATAGTCAGCTGAGAACAGGCACCTTACCATTCTATTTTATCACTGAGTCCCCAGGTTTATACCAGGACCCTGATACTTGCTGTTCAATAAATCAATGTAAGACTCTCTCAAAACCTCCCTCAAATCCAATCTTCTGTATCAAAACCACCTGCGACTTCTACCCCACTGACCCTCTCAGTTCAGCACTCAGTGGGTTCACTGATTGAATAATTCAACTTCCCAAACGGATTCCTTAAAAGCTAAATCTACACATCCTCAAAGTCTCCTGGGCCAATAGAAGTCCTCAGGGTGAGTGTGAGGTGGAGGTCAATGCTGACTTCTGCACATGACTGTCCTGAGAATCAAATGAGACCATGCACTAAGCCACGTGGTGCACACCTGCAACCCAAGCTACTACAGATGAGGCAATCATGAATCCAAGTTCAATGCTAGCCCAGAGATCTTACCAAGACACTGTCTCAGATGTAAATAATACAAAGGGCTGGAGATGTAATTAAGTGCTCCGTGGAGTTAATATCCAGAATGAAAAAAATTAAGTGTCACAGAAAAAGCAATCATTGCTTTTCTTGTGTTGCTAGGGTCTGAATCTAGGGCCTTTTGCATGTTAAGCAAGTGGTCTATCATGGAGCTATATTTTCAGTCCCCAGAAAAGGCAATGAAGTGTTTCAGAGAATAGGATATACTTCTCCAGACTAAGCAACTTCCCCAAAAAATGTCTCTTTTTTTTTTCTCATTGAGTTTATTGGTACTTTTTTAGTATACAGTACAGTTACATTTATCATTGGGATCTTGTCCCTTTACTATGTCTGCTTTTATAGTGCTTTTTCTTCCCCCCTGAGACAGAGTCTCCCTATACTTCACACTGTCCTTGAACTCACTATGTAGCCCAGGATTGCCCTGATCCCACAATCGTCCTGCCTCACCTCCCCAGGACTGGGATTACAGGCATGCACTATAATGCCCAGCTTACAGAAATGTGTACAGATAGGAATGAGATACATTCTGAGAAGCTACCATGTACGGCTCTTTAAACTATGGGCAGGGGTGACAATTTTCCAAGAAAACACCCACCTCTCATGCTTCTTGAAGGCTCTTGCAAGGGACAAGTCACTTATAACCAAGATTGGAATGCTTTCCTTTATCTCCTGTCATTTTCATCTCTTAAAATCCTTTCTTCCTTCTCTGTTAAAGCTAGCTGGAAGGGCTGGGGATTTAGCTCAGTGGTGCTGGGCCTGCCTTCCAAGTGCAAGGTCCTGAGTTCCATCCCTTTTGGGGAAGGGCTCACTGGAGGTGGGGGTCTTCTTTTCTGGCCGTCACTGAATGTTATTTTTCTGGCCTTCAGCTCTGGTATCATTATAATTACACTTGCCTGCAGGAGATGACACCACTAGCAAGATCAACTCTAGCTAGGGTCCGGGATTTAGCTCAGTGGTTCTGGCGCCTGCCTTGCAAGCGCAAGGACCCGAATTTGATCCCCGGTACCAAAACAAAACAAAACAAAACAAAAAGATCAAGTCCATCTCTGAAGATTCCATTAAGGAGTAGAAGAGGAAACCCTGCTACATCACTTTAATACCAAGACGTGGGGTGCTACTCTTCACAACGACATTCAGCAAACTCATGTGCCCACGTAAACTGTTACCAAAAATAAATGCAAAATTGAAAGCTATTTTGGATTTTTGGATAATCAACTGCTGTCATCAGCTTTCAAAGGAGGGCATAGTGTCAGGGTTAAAAAACACTTGATCACTGACATTTCTGCCTGAAGTTCCATTCTGAGTCAACAAGCCAAGTGAGGACCTACACCTCACCATACTGGGTGTATCCCTTCTACCCGCTCACTTGACCAGCTGCTAACCTCAGCTCAGTGCAGTTTGCTTCTGGCCTTACCACTTTGGCCTCCTGGCTCCATCCTGTGGCCTCCTAGAGATTACCTTCCCATATACATCCCTGTCCCCAAGGCCCAGAGGGAGCTTTCATCATCCAGCTCTAGCCAGACCTGTCTTTAACTAATCAAATAGGAAACTTCCCAGCTCTCTCAGCCTGCTCCCTCATCCACACATCTAAAAGGGGAAGTATGGGCTAGGGGTATACTTCGGGCAGAGCACTTGCCTAGTATGAACCAGGCCCAGCATATGATCACCAATACCTCCAAAAAACAAAAACACAAACAAACAGAAATCAACCAACAAAACAAAACAAACAAAATTGGGCCAGATCCTCTCTAAAGCTCCATTTCACTCCAGGAATCACATATCTAAGGGAGAGCAAAAGCTGAAAAAATGTTTACACTTCCTTTTCAACAACAAATGTTGCTCCAGCACTGACTAATAGCTTGGATTCTGTCAGCTTTCCTGAAGTCTCTGGTGCTGCTGACAACAGCACAAGGAATACAAACCACTTAGCTTCTACTGCTCTGTAACAAACTGCCAAAGTAGTTAACTCTGCACTGGACCATCTCAAGTTGTCCCTTCACCTAGATGTATCCAATCATTCAACAAACACTGACTGAGCACTTATTTGTGATGAGGTCTATGCAGGACTCCTGAAGACAGTGATGAACAAGTCACAGTCCCTGCTCCCTGAGAGGTAGCTACCTAGCAGGGCGGACATTATGTACCCAAGGACTGCTGTAGATGACAGGGATGTGTGAGGAGAGGATAACACAAAGTGCCTCAGGCATGAGGCCATCTGTGCAGCCTTCACAGAAGTGCTGGACTGTGACTGAAGTGAGTTTAAGCAGAAGACACAAGCATATGCACATATTCCAGATGCAGAAAGCAGCACTGACACAGCATGGACTAAGGGGTGCTTCAAAGGACCAGGTCACAGAAGGGGAGACATAACGCTGTGAGTAGCCCCGTGTGAGGAGGATTCCACATCCTGCAAAGATACCTAGAGGTAGTTTTGAAGGCAATGCAGAAACATTGAAAGTTTTTCTCCCCCTTGTTACTGGGGATTGAACTCATCCCAGTCCCTTTTCACACTGAACTATATTCCGAACTTCTTTTTCATTTAAAATTTTTGAAATAGGGTCTCATTAAGTCACTAAAGTGTCCAGGGTGGGCTCAAACTTGCAATTCTCCTGCCTCAGTCTCTCAAGAGTTCTGGGGTTATAGGCACATACCACTGCACACAAGATTTTTTTTTTGAGGTGCTAGGGATCAAACCAAGGATCTCACACATGTTAGGAAAGTGCTCTACCACTGAACTATATCCTGTAGCCCTTCTAAACGAGATGGAGAATAGACAGGTCAAAGGTGTAGCAACTTAACTGTTAGAATTATCTTGCTTCTGTCAGTTCCCACATAGAAAAGTGCAACCAATGGGAGTAGTGGTGCACACCTGTTATCCCAGCACTCAGGAGACTGAGGCAGGAAGATCACTGCAAGTTGAAGGCCAGCCTGGGCTACCTAGTGACTTCAAGGACAGCTTGAACTACGTAGCAAGACCCTGTCTAAAAAAAAAAAAAGTAAAGTGCTATTGCTCCAGGCATACATCTTCCTGGTCTCTTTCTCTCCCTCACAAGCCTTCTCCACATGCAGGAGCAAGAGGAATCTTCTTAACCTACATGTCATCCATGATACCACAATGCTCAAAAAGTCCCTCCCACAGCATCCCTGGGACTCAGGACAACAGGACCAAGCAGCAGGCCAAGAACCACTCAGGATCTGAGGGTGTGAGACAGTCTCAGTTCTGTTTGCTTAGTGCACCCAAGTGAAGGACCAGCGTTAGGCATCAGGGACATAGCAGTAATTAAAGCAAATCTCTGCCCTCACAGGGTTTACCAGAGTGAAAGGAGTAATAGCGCATGAGAAGCAAGACCTGCTGAGATTCAGAAATAAGGCATCAGGGGTAGATGATTGCAGGACAAGGGTAAGAGCAGGTAGGTGGTCTAAACAACGAATTTGCACAGTGGCGGAGGGCTATCAGCATAGGCTCAGAGCTGTGCTTGGCAGTGATGAAGAGAAAAAGAGAATCTTTGCCTCCCAGAGTTTGGGAAGAAATAGGGTTAGCCCTCAATTCTCAGAAGGCCTCTCACTCCAGCCCAACAGGAAACTACCCCGGGATTGAGGGCACCATTTTTGAGTGCCTCTCACTGTGCTGAACCTCCTGAGGGCAGGGAACACTTAGTATCCAAGGAGTGTGACACACAGAAGGCTTACTGCATCCATCACCTTCTCTCTCCTTCAGGCAAGACATACTTTATTTAGAGATTTGATAGACATTGGCTACTATGGGCTCTTACATGTTACATGCCTCTTAAAAGGAGAATGTACCAAACAGAAGTAACTTCCCTGAAGTCTCCGTAGGCTTGGCAGATAGGGGTAAGGAATGTGGAAGATCTCTTCCCCAGTGATGCACATTTCTGCTGAATAATCACAAGGAGTCCTCCCTAGATTAGATTCCGTCTCTACAGCAGCAGTCCCTGAAGGAGATACCTCCAGGAGGAAGCCACACTCGAGATTGCACCTACCTTTCCAACATATACTCCAGGTTGGTCAGCCTTGCTTCCCCTGCGGACACGATGTGGACAGCATAAGAGCTGAGGGAGCGGTGGACAAAGCCCCGGGAGTGCAAGTATCTCAGGGCATCAGCAATCTGCAGCAGTAAGTGCACCATCACCTCCATGTGCAAAACAGGGAACTCGGACCGCTGCAAGTGAGACAGAAAGTGCCAGGTACACAACGGAAAAGCCCCCTAATCCTGTAGGATCCTATATGATTTCCAAAGGCATTTCACAATATGAAGTGTGTCCCTGTTTACAGACAAGGAACCTAAAGCTCAGTGTGACCATGCTAAAGTCCTATCATTTTGACCCTACCAAAACCTGGGCTCCTTTCCTTTGGCTGAACTGCTTTATACCAGGATAAATGAAAAAGTTTCAAGCCTGCTATAAGCATCAGGAATCAGTCTGGGGGAAATTACGAGGGAATATGCCTCATAAGAACCAGTAAATCTGCCCTCCAAAGACCCTACAGGATGACCAATCCAGCCCTGCTGCAGTCAGAAGAACTAGAAAGACCATCCTAAGAAGACAGAAATTCACTCACACAGTTGTATCCAGGTGATGTGCCTCATCTAGGGAAATGCCATTTTAAGGCACTGCCTCTAGCCAGGGAAATAAAAGCAAAAGCAGAATGCTAATGACTTCATCAGGGAGGAGGGATGGCAAACCATCTGGGAGAAAAGCCTTTCTTTCTTGGAGGGTTTTTCTTCACTCCCTCCCAGGGTCTTTAGAACAAAATCTCAGAGAAAGAAACATCCTTCGGTAGCTCTGTGAGACCACATGGATTTTCTGGGAACCTGTCAGCCATGGAAAGTATTTCACCACCAAAAGGAACTGTGAGCAGTTACAAGAGAGGAATAAAAGACCTCTGTATGAACCAGCCAGGACAGAGCACAAGTGGAAATGAAGGAAAAGAAAGACAGTAGGTAAAGGCTTAATGAGCTGCAAACAGGTTCCATGTGTTTCTGGGTCAGCTGAATTCTTAGCTGACAAACAAGCAGGACCAACAATAATAATGTCACAGAACTTCTGACCATTTGCTTATCAACATTAAGTGGCATGTTACACAGCCCCATAGGAAAAATTTTCCATGCATTCACTATGGGACCTCTAAGGCTGGTGCAGAGGAGAGAGGGCAAGGAAAAGTGGTAAGGGGTGGGGGGAAGATCCATAGCATGGCTGATTACTCGTTCATGGAGGACGCTGAATAGTGTGCCAACGGTGATGCGCTCGTATACAAGTCGGGTCTTCTCCAGGTCCTGGGACAGGCACACAGCCATCAGTTGTAGTAGGTGAGGATGCCGCAGCTTGCTGCATAAGAAAGAAGCTTCAGAAGGGTGGGGAGTAGGAGCATATCATGAAAATATAGGTGATGCTCTTTCTTCTAGGCCTTTTGAGCCCACTGTAAACAAGTACTATTTCTACATAAAAATTTTCTAAGAAAAGAGAATGGGTTGGAGGCACAGTAGTCTCTGTTGGTGGAACCTATTGGCTTCTCTTACTGACCAGATTGAAGGCTTGAGAGAATCAGTGACAACAATGAAAATGTTGCTGAAAGTTATTGAGTAAGACATTGTGCCTATGTTGCATCTATCATCTCAGATCCTAACCATCACCTGCTAGAAATGCATCCTTATATCCTCACATTAGAAATGGAAGTACCTAACACCAGGAACTTTCCCTGTTCATTCAGTCTCACATCAAAACCTATACTATGCCCATGGCTCCTCCCAGCCCACACTGGGGCATAAGGCTGATTTCTCCAAAAAGAAGCACTGGCCTGCAGCAGTTGAGTGGCCTACTCAGGTTAAGAGCTCAATGAGCCTGTCCCAGCAAAAGCTGAAGGACCAAAACCCGGAGCCAGAGGAAACCTAACAAACTAAGACAGATGGCATGTCCTCAGTGATAGAGATGTGGTTCTCAGACAAACTGATCTCATGCCCAGCCATGCTCCATGAAAAGAGGGAAGCCACATGCTCTCATGATGAGCATAGGGCCCCAAGTGGGACAAGCCTCAGGAACAATGGCAGGAAAAACCAGATGCGCCTAGAAGCTCAGCCATCCAAGAGAAGGGTTATGGAGAGTTCACAGACTTAAGCCACTTTCCACCACCACTTTCCCCATCCCTCAAACTTCAATAATTCTGCTTTCCCTTTCTGGGCAGCCTTTAAAAGTCAAGTCAACCAATTCCAACTGTCAGGAAATACTGAGACTGATGGGGGCTGGTGCTCCAGGGACAAGCCTAGATAACCAGGAATCAGCCCTGTAATCAGCCTGACCCCTGGGCCTCCTTCTTACCTGCTGTGCTCCTGCTCAGCAATCAGTAAGTCAGCCAGCCTCTGCCTGCTGCTGTGAGGGTGAGTGGGGAGATTCAAGTTCTTCACTGTGACTCTACTCCCATTCCAAACAAGGCTGCAAGGGCAGGAGAGAGCAAAGCAGAGGGCATCAGCGGGCATGGATTCAGTGAGCCAGCTTTTCTGATGAGATCAGAGGACTGTGGTTTATCCAGAACTTCTTACATCCTTTTGGATGGCTGGATCCTCCTCACCTACAGCTATCAGGGCCCTAAATGCCCTGGAGAATTAGGTGTGGTGGCAGGAAGTCATTAAGGTTTCTAGGGAGGGAGTGACTTGATCAGATGTGTGTTTTAGAAACACAGTGGTACCAGCAATGTGGGAAATGGATTAGGCAGTGGTGATCTACAGAATAAAGACCAGTAAGGGTTCCATGTGGGAGTAAGATCCTGATGACTTGGATAGAGGCAGCAGCAATGGGACAGAGAGAAGAAGCTTCAGAAGCTGAGAGACCTTGGCCAGGACATCTCTTGTGACCTACAGGTCACAGGTCACTGAAAGCTGAGAATACCTAGGGACTTTCTTTATAAGCAAATTTTGTTATTGCCATGTCCCCCGGATTTAGATGATGAGGGACCCTGATGATACCTGTATCACCTTCTACAGGGGCTTCAGTATACTTTGGCCTGTATCAAAGGCACAGCAATCAGCACAAAAGCTACCTCAATATTTTAGAAAGCAGAGAGACAAAAATACTATAACGACTGATCTTTCAGAGCTGAGTTCTACCTCTCTGAGCATATGGGCAATGTGCATAGACAAATCTGGTCGTCACAACTACACAGGGCATAAAGGACCGCCTAATGACAAAGGGACAAAGGAGACTCCCAAACATTCTATAATGCACAGGTCTGTCCCCAGCAACAAAGGATCATCTAGCTAAAAATTTCCATATGAGAAACCCTGATTTAGACACATGTTCTTAAATGTTCCCTTGGGTTGAAGAAGGAACCCTCTACCTATAAGAGTACCATTTGCAGCCAATACTTCCCACAGACCAAATGTATCCTCCCACTGATCAGCTCCCACTTACTTGGTCATGACCATGTGAGGCCCACTGATGAAAGAGAAAGTGGGCTCATCATCAGCTTGCATCACTTCCTTTTCTCCAATTATTGGAAGAGAGCCTAGATAGGCAAGCTGTGTCCCTCCTGTGAGATAAAACTGAAACCAAACACAGCCTCAACTTGTAAGGAAAAAAAAAAGGAAAAGCAAAATACCTCTAGAATCTTGTTAGCTGGCTAAAAATAGTGGTAGCTGCTACTTACTCACCTGCTGAATATCCTTGTGCACTGGACATTATTCTTTAATTTACATTATTTTTAAACTTCCTAGAAACCTGCAAGGTTGTAATATTCTTTCCTTTTTACTAGCGAAGAAACTGAGTAGGAAGTCACATGTTTGCCCACAGAACCTGGGCCTACATGTAGAGAAAGCATACACACATTCCTGTGTCTGCTCCCCCATGACCAAGCAGTATTTCCCAACCGTCTGTTTTTGACAGATAGAACCAAGGATCCCAAACTCACTCTCTGTCCTTACAACATTTCTCAGTTTAAAATCTCAATTCCTCAAAAGGATGTCAGTCATGCCTATAAGCCAGTTAAGAGGGCAAGGCCATCAGGAAGCAAATCCATGGGGGTAGCACAGCTCTCTTCCTCTCTGTTAAGAGAGAATATGTCTGGGGCTTTCCCTGAAAATTAAAGCATCATCTTCTAAACTCCTGAAATCTAACCCACAGTCATTCACAGGAATTCTCCACAGTGTTCACCATTTTTCAGTAGGGACAGGAACCCTCACAAGAGGGCAAGGAAAAAATAAAAAATACTTTGGCGAGGACAAAAGAGCACTTGAACAAAGATAAGAGATGGGTCACAGGATTTCTACGTACTCCCGCAGATATTGGCTGTCAATGGCAATACCTTACCTTCCCAAATCCAAAGCTGTAGATGTTTTGGGTAGAAATGACTCCAGCTTTAAGAGGTCGGTTAGGGGAGCCATTAGGACTTCTAGAAATGTATAAAGAAAAAAATGAGAATTAACCACTTATATTGGGAGGAGTAATTCTAAGCCAAGTTTTGGAATGTGTAGTTCTCATGACTTTTTACATTTCAATCTCTTATACTACAGAATGAATGCAGTAAGCATCCTGGGCATCTACTGAAACCCTCAGGTGAGAGGCACAGCCTGTCTGCAGGTTCTTAAGCCCCTCCTCCACGTCAGTATCAATACTGGCTAGCACTGTGACTGTCTGCTTTCCCCCCACCAATGGAGCACTTCACAGATGTGCGTGTCATTTTTGCCCAGGGGCCATGCTCATCTTGTGTGTGTCCCGATGTCAGCGTATGTCCTGCTGATACAAGCATGATGTGACTCAACTTTTACCATGGAACTAAAGACTGTCATAGGCCTGAAAAGGCTCCAGTGATTCTCGCTACCTGTTATTCCTGATCCTCACAGTCAGAGGAGGCTGATCTGTTAGCTCAGTAAGATATTATAGAAATAATGGGGTAGCCCTTCCTAAGTAAAAGCTAACAGGGATTCTGCCTTGATCTTTCTGGGATCACTTGCTCTGAGACAACTGTGAAGACACTCAGCCTGACACAGAGGCCAAGAACCAATTTTCCAGCCATGGAAGTATATCAATTTGGAATTGGATCCTCCATCCCCAGTCAAGCCCTCAGATGGATGATGGCAGAAAAGACATCTTCAGTGTAAACTAGGTGAGTCATTCACTGAGTCTTGACCCACAGAAATTATGTAAGATAAAAATATTTAGTTCCCTAATATGTGGTATTTAAAAAAAGATAAGAATGCAGAAAGGACACTATTATTAAAACAGGAACAGAGAAAGGGAAAGGATGGTATAAGGATGGATATGAATATAGTCACTGAAACAAAGAAGTGAAACTAGGGGGAGGGTGAAATGATCTAAGTGTGTCATGTACATTAATCTGTATCACCAATATTCACTAAAAAAAAAAGATGTGAAATAAAAAAAATTTGGTTGAAATTAATGTAAGGCAGATGGTCAGAGTTGGGAGGAATCATACAGCATATCAACAACTTTCTCATTTTATGATGGGGAAGATAAAGCCTGGAAGAGAAGTCACAGACCAGGAGCAGAGGCCAGACTTTGATGCTGCTCATCCAGCCAATGGTCTTCCCACATACTTCACCCTAACCACCACCGGCACAGCAGTGCTCCATGAACTGAAGGTGCCTTGAGAGGGTAATGCTATGTATTTCTCTGGCTTTGGGGCCTGGCAAAATGCCATGCATGTACTATAGCAGGTGCTTAGTGCATGCTTGCTAAGGAAGTGCAGCTCAGATTGAAAAAAAAAAAACAAACAAACAAACAAACCCCAAAACCACACTTAGGTGCTGCAAAGCTACTTCCTCTTCTTGGCAAATGGCAAAGGAGCTGGTGGGACAGTGTATACCCAGCCCAACCTGCACCAGGTCTGTGAGGTCCCATTGACACTATTCATGAATAGACGAGAATGCTGTGCTTCTGCTCTTGAAACTGTTCAAGCTTTATCACCTCAGCAACTTTTCAGGGCCAGGCCACCTCTTCCCTGCTTTCACCTGTCATGCTGCTCAAGAGAAAATGCTAAAGTCTGGATTGAGGTAAACTGGACACGTCAGTTTACACTTAGTGTCCCAGAATCTTCCTTCTGGAAATAGTGTGTGGGATAACTCCTGTGGTTGCCCTGCTTTGAGAAGACACATTCTAAGAGAAAGGCCCCGTTCTTATGCCAAACCAGCAGTGTACTCTAGAGGCTAAACCTATGTGCTTAGGCCTGAAGGATCTAGGAAACAGCTGAGCATTTCCTATGACTTGGCTCTATTAATGAGGGTGGGCTTTCCCTGCAGCAGTCTAATAGGGGACACCACTGACCAGGCCTCCCTCTCCCACCTGAGGGCCTCTAAACAGCATGTAGGCTTTTTGGAGGGTGGAAAAGGAGCTGACTGTTCTCTGATGCAGTTCAGACTTGCTTTCTTACCTAAATTTCTCAGTCCCTGTCTATGTAAATAAACTAAATTTTCAGTCCCTATCCACATGAGACAGAGTAAAAATGGACTCCAGTTATTCACAACTACTCAACCACCACTTTCGCTCTATTCAGTGCTTTGATTCTTTCTTGATCTCAGCCCTGCAACTTTACATACTTACGGGAAATCATAACTGATGGCACCACTCACAGACCTGAGGCCAACTCTCATTTCCAGGATTTGTGTGATTTCTTTATATTAAAAAAATGAGAGGAATGCATTTCCATCTTATTTTCCATTAAACATTCCATTCACTCTAGACATAGCCTGTTTTATAATTAGATGAATTATGAATTATCTAATTATGAAACATGCTAACTAGATTAGTAACTGAAATTTCAAATTTGTATCAGTTTTTAGTTTGTTTTTGTTTTTGAGACAGGGTCTTGCTTTGTAGGGCAGGCTGGCCTTGAACTCACTATGTAGCCCAGGCAGGTCTTGAACTTGAGGTGCTCCTCCTACCTCAGCCTCCCAAGGGCTGGGATTACAGGCATGTGACATAATGCCTGGTACAAATGTTTATCAATGCTGAACTTGGAACTTACTTTTTGGTTTCCTATAAACATAACTTTCTTTGCACTGATCTGGCAACTAAGGGTTAGGGATGAATGGAACACAGTCTCTGTCCAACTGGAATTCAGTTTGGCTGGAAAAACAAAACACCTGCAAATAAACTAATTACAAGTGGTGAAAAATATCTGTAAACTGAGTGGACGAATTGCACAGGGTAGCAAGTGTCTTACACCAGCTTCAAATAGTCCCAGAAACTATAAATTAAGCATTTTTGTGGGCTTCTGCAACCTGTTTCCATGATTCGGAAAATGACCAAAAATAAATAAATAAATTAATTAAATAAATAAATAAAGAAAGAAAGCAGCCAGCTTTGCTACTGGGTAAGAGTTTTCTGCTGGGCCTCTTAGACTTTGGGAGCTCCTCTTCTACTGATGGGGTGATTCCCCCTGGACCTCACTACCACTTCCCTGATTTTCTAGGGGTAGGGGGATGCTCTTCTGGGCAACCTTTACTAAGGGCCACATCTTCTCTTTCCAAGCCCATCTTCTCTTTCTCTGGATGGCTCAGATACCAGTAGGCACCAACGTAAAGGAGAACATGACAACCCATGACACGGGGCTCCTACAAGGAAGGGGGAGTGGGTGGAACACCCTACCATGCTGAAGGCATTACTCACCCTTGCAGGAGGCCCGCCAGGCAGGGTGTGCTGCAGATGAGCCGCTGAGGGGAGTCTATCTTCTTCAGGAGATCATAAGAGAAGCCCTGCATGATGGCCTGCATGTGTGAGGTGCAGCGCTTCATGAACTCCACCATCTGTAACACATGGTGGACACTCAAGACTAGCCACACCAGCCTTCAATGGATATACAGGCTAGGGTGAAAGCACAAATGGTCTGACCTCCCAAGGGAAGAGAAAAGGACCAGAGACTTTAGAGGGATGGAACATTTTCAAGGAGAGGATTTGTCCATGACTGCCTCCAACTCCCTCCTTCAACAGCTGAGGAAACTGAGGCATCAATGGATATAGGGTGAAAGCACAAATGGTCTGACCTCCCAAGGGAAGAGAAAAGGACCAGAGACTTTAGAGGGATGGAACATTTTCAAGGAGAGGATTTGTCCATGACTGCCTCCAACTCCCTCCTTCCTCCTTCAAC